GCACTTTTATAAACGGAATTTCTAAACACAGGCGGATATTAAAATAGAATTGTACATACATACACGTGATGTGTGTGCGCGAGCCGCGTGTGTGTTCACAAATAATAATAATAATCACTCGAGACTATCTATTAGCGTTCGATCAGAAGATGATGCGCCGCAAAAACGTATGCTAATAACTATACGCGCGTTGTTAGCACGAAACACATGCGTGTAAAACTGCACGTGGCATTAAAAGACGCATTCAAGGATAGCGATATGTATGCGTTAATATGACGCTTCATCTATTGCTTGAAGCGCGAAAAATTGCCGGATGATAAATACGATGATGCGCGAAAATTGAGTGCCGCGCGCAAGTGCATAATTAAATTACAAGAGATAATATAAAAAGACTTACGCACGTAGACTGTTTTAATTTATGGCATTAGACTCCTAATGAATCGACCGATCTTATCAATCGTAAGATACAACGTATGATTGTATGTGAAAAATTTATGCGAAAGAACAAAAAATTCCTTGAGCGAAAACTTTTCTGTTACGATTTAAACGTCGAAGCTGTATAATTTAGCTTTATTTTCTTAATCGAGCTGTTATCCTCGATTCATCGGACAAACCTAAGGTTACATGCGTGCTTCTGGAAGTATACAACAATATTAAATTATCAAGAGCAATTTCAGCTCATTGGTACTCAATATAATTGATTAAGGAAATACCAGTCTTTCGATTTAGGAGAGAAAATCCAATTCGCGATCAGATCGATTTTAATATAACGTGAGTCGTACTAAAAAAAAACAGTAAATTCGAGCAATTTGAAAGAGTAGAAAAAAATTAACATTCTATAGTAATTAGGAAGTTGCAACACGCAGAAAGCTTGTAAGCGTGCCGTCTTTGCGGCGTTTCGTCGATATACGACTTTGACATTACTTAAATCGCCGGCCCATTTGCAAATCATTAAAATGTATAGTTACCGCGGACAATCGCGTCATGAATAATGAATAATCATACGTTGTTTCTCCTGGCCTCCTGCAGCCATAAGTATACACACACGCTCCCGTCGCGCCAAATGTCAACAACTTTCGCCGCCAATTTTGTCGGTCGATGAAAGCTTTCGGCGAGAGCTTCTCTTTATCATCGCGTTCATCATCATAACGTTATATTTTTTCCTACGCTATATTAATAATTTATAGTAATTTTAAAAACGATTTGAAGCGCTTAATTTTTATACTTAACCCATGAAAAGGGATCCAACTAGAGCGATTACAGGAAACACATGTTATTTTATAACTGGACCATCTCGGTCGAAGGCAGTTTTTCCTCAGGTAAAACGACGATTGTCGCTCGTCTAATCGCTTCATCCACCGTTACACGTCGCGTGTAGTCTTTTGTCGTGGAAAAACGCTTTCATGGAATTTGTGTAATTGCCCGACGACACTGGCACCATTAGAGACGACCGTTAAACACACAGATCAACCGTAAGTCTATAACGCGTTTCTCTCTTCTCTCTCTCTCTCTCTCTCTCTCTCTCGAACTGGCTGTGCATATGGTTCTGTGTTGTATACATATAGTTGAAGCGATAGTTGCGTAACGTTCAAGGTGAAACTCCCCCACCGTCAACGAGACAATCGCTGCTGCTGCAGCTGCAACAGCTGTTGGCCACCATTGGCGGTGCCGGTTGGTCAATTAGTATCGCTGTTAATTCAATCTTCGCCTCGCCTAGATGCTTCGTGAATCCGGTGGGCCGGATGAATTGATGGAGTACCCGATCATCCGAAGCCCTGTACTGTTCGCATCCAGTGTTGGGTATCTAGATACATTTTGTGTATCTGAGTGTGCATCTGAGATACATATATTTGAACTGAAGTATCTCTATCTGTATCTATTGATAGATACAAAACATGGTATCTGAATTGCTTTTTTTCAGATACATTTTCATATATTTTTTTGAATAGCCCAATTCTTTAAATTTTTGAAAGATCAAGACTGCAAGTTAACAATATATCCGAAGCCCTGTACTGTTCGCATCCAGTGTTGGGTATCTAGATACATTTTGTGTATCTAGATATACAAGTGTATATATGTATACACCTTGGATATGTCGTCAAGCCTGCACGACCTGTTCCATCATCTCGTTGACATTCAGCTTTCGGAAAAAATATCAAGTGTATATATCTTGATAAGGCACTCCTTGTTTATTTATTTAAATATTATTGCAGTGCATGAATATTAATTGGTGATGCAAACAATTTTATTATATTAAATATCGTGAATATTTCATTTTTTTATGTTTGAATTTTTATAGCCAGTATTTTTCGAATATACATATATTTTGCATGATTACGCCAACTATAAAGCTTATGAGTTAACGCAATTGATGGTTCTTAATGAAATAACCGGCATAAATATTATAAATGAAATTGAACATGTAGAAGAAGAAATGGAGATTTAAAGAAGCACTTGGTTCCTGTGTTTATGTTTTATTCGACCCATATTTTATTCGTGTTAAAGTAGTTATGTACCGCCAGCTTAACAGACGTATCTGAAAACCCCTCAGCGAACTCTTGGACTTTCTCGCTCGCGCGTATCGAGCGGAAAGATTCCAGTCTCGGCCGCTCACTCGTGATTGCGCTCATTGCCGAATTAACTACGAACGTCAGACGTTCCCATTCGTACGAGTGGAAGAGTTCTGAGGCTCTTCATGCTCGACCGAGTACAACGGTAGATGACATCAAATTCTGGCTAAAAACGCGTGCATTCCTCTACTTTTTTTTTAACGAGAAACATGTTAATCTCGTCGGTTCAGCTCGGGAAAATACTTCTGCGCTTCGCGTTACGCAATCAAATTCGCGAGTGCACGCGAAAAGATATGTCCAAATATTTCGGCCAGCAAGGTAAATTTGAAATTCCTCACGTTGGCGTTTATGTAATTAGCCTAACTAAAGAAACGTCAATTAGCGATTCACTATCACTTTCAAAATTACAATCCTTGGTCTGTTATTATTTTCTTCAAATCTTATCTAAGTTTAGATCTTCAAATCTTAAAGTAAAATTAATTTATATAATAAAATTAATTTAATATAATATATATAGACGATTTACAGTAATTAATTCGCGATATCGTTGATGCGCGTCGTATAAATCGCGAACAGCGATCGGAATATTTCAGATATATTTTACATCATTATTCTGTCATACGAGAGTTGCGGAACAGATACGGATATGGGATATCGCTTTAAAGCTAGAATATGCGTGACGAGACGTGCTATATACCTACGCAATGCGTCGATCGCGCACCATCTGACGTTTCTATCTGCACGTATATGTATGATCCAATTGAACGCTTAATGTATCAAAGAATGAAGTAGTGTCATGCGCGAGATGATGAAACGCGAAAGGATTTAGCCTTCGTCTTCAAGGTTGACTAGTACACTGCGAACAATCGTTCGTGGTTTGAGTCGATTTACACATGGTTCGAGGCTTCTTCGAGAAACAATAAACTCTTTACGAGATCCTCCGTTTAATTTGAAATTACCATAACAATATCTGTATTTTTAAGCTAAAAAAAGAAGGCAAAAAAAATAGAGTCCGCGAAACACGAAAACATCAATTGGACACTCGAAACGTGAAGGAAAAGTTGATGCGTAGCGTCATGTATATATGTGTTAACGTGCATGCAATTGACCTGCTTCTCTATGTAAATACACGTGCACTTGGCTGCGTCGAAAAATTCATTCGCATTTCTCAGATAGAGAATGATAAAGAGAACTGGATCTAGAGCGCGGATATAAAATGCAGGCGGAAGGGAGGGAGGAATGATTGAGAGACGTCGAACAAAGATTTCGCGATTGCAATCGTTTCCAATGAAGGAGCAAGGAGAGGACAGAATGCACGCCCTCGTTGCATTCTCCTCCAGGGCCGCGTCAATACAGACCTGCAATTCATAGCATTGATAGCAGTTGATTGTCCAGTATAATAGTGCAGAGTACGATATAACGTATATAATGATTGTTAACAATTATAGCCTGATGATTGAAGCTGTTTTAAGATGTTCAATCTATATATTTATAGAACTTATGTACACATTTACCTACTAATTGCATTATACAAGTTTATCTGGAGGCGGTGATATAACTGTCGAGTTATAATGCTACCCCCTTTCTAAGATAAAATGAGAACGCCCTTTATAGCGTAATGATTGAAGCTGTTTTTTCAGATGTGCAATCTATTTATAGAATTTATATACATATTTACTAATTATATTATATATATAAGTTTAGCTGGAGACGGTGATATAACTCGACAATGCTACCCCTTTTCTAAGATAAAATAAAGCTGTTTTTTCAGATGTGCAATCTATTTATAGAATTTATGTACATATTTATTATTTATATTATATATATAAGTTTAGCTGGAGACTGTGATATAACTCGACAATGCTACCCCTTTTCTCAGATAAAATAAAGTTGTTTTTTCAGATGTGCAATCTATTTATAGAATTTATGTACATTTACTAATTGTATTATGCAAGTTTATCTCGAGGCGATGATATAACTCGACAATACTACCCTTTTCTAAGACTATAATAAAACTTGAACGCCCTTTGATCGCAATCTCTTGTTGATGTAACATACATATGTAGCTGTTGCGCCGAGAGGTTTTAATGCGCGGATTACGGAGGATAGAAAGTGATTTTCCGGACACAGAGATATAAAAGCAAGAGAGACGACTTGCGACGAGGTTGTGGAAATAGGAAGAGAACGGCAACCTGGATAGTGTCCAAAACTCTTGTTCCACCTCGTAGAATGTCGAGGGAAAGGAAAAACCATAGAGTTCCGCCGTATCGTTCTTAATCAGCGGCGCCTTTAATTTAAATTTTTCCCGAGCAATCTATCTATAAGCTTTCGGAGCATTTGTTGTATCCAATCTCAATTGCAAATTTAAAGCTTTGTATTAAAAAATTAATTTTTTCACGCGCTAATCGAGAGATGGCATTTATGTTGCAGAGTCTAAAAGGTCGGTAGCAGCCAAAAGCCGACAGCATGAGGAACTCGACGATACTGAAATGGGCGCAAAATTCGGCGAATAATAAAAATCAGCCGAATAAAAATGGAGGTGAGTAAAAATGGAGCTTGATTCATTAATATCGGCTCGCTGCTATTATGGCGAAAATTGAAAACCATAACTTGTTTGTTCGCAGGAACGAATAGGAACTGGATACACCCACCGGACGCGCTCCAAAAAGGACACATCGCCTACCTAGTCAAGGTACTGTGCTATATATGTTCCTATAATATACCATAAAATTTCTTTCACATTCAAATAAATTCGTGTTCAAGCAAGGGCGTGTAATTTATTCTGAATTTTAATGTATTCAAATATTTTCATTCCTGTAATTTCAAAATTATTATTTTAACACGACAATTCGCATTGAAAAGTCTAAAATTGTAAATAAAAATAATGACATAAAGCATCGAACAAAATTCTTTTTTTCTTTTTGTATTAATTTTTTCTAAGATTGCATTTTTCTGGAATGCAAAAGTATTTTCTTGATTAATGATATGTGATGGCTAACACATGTGTGCACGTTGGGCAAGGTTGTGGCACGCGATTGTGAAACCGTGGGATAAACAAAGTGACAAGTCTCATCCTGGCACCGTTTCCCGATACTCGAAGCCGACTCGAATGAAAGGTCGAGGTCATCGCCGACGCATGTCGTCGATCTTTTGCGACCACTTTTCCCCGCGTTTATTTATTTCATCTCCGGCAGATAATTGAGTCGAAACTCGCCGAGCGGGATATCTATTACGCGTTCGTGGAATTTGTCGACACGCGCACGCCTAATTATCTTTCACCGCTAACGAACGTAATTAAGCCAAGTCGATTACTTTGTCGGGTGAAACGCGTGAATTCGTGCGCACTGCGTGAGAAAAACAGAAGAAATTGCTGGCAACTATTAAGTAATAATTGGCGGAAGGATAATGAAAACAATTGTTTCAGAGTAAAATTATTCAACCTTTTCTTTATTCTTTTTTTTCTGTCTTTTCTTTCTTATTGTAGATAAAAAATATTGCGCTATTTTTTTAATTGTGTACACTTGCAATATATTCTTGTAGTTATTCTATCTTTTTTCTAAAAGATATATACAAATTAATATAAAAAATAACAAATTATATAAAATGTAAGAATTTGCGATAATTGATTCAGCAAAGCTTGAGATCTTTGTATTAGCAAAAAGAAGTGCAAGAGCTGTGGAAATAAAAATTGCAGACATTTCATATAAAATTACTCGAATTGGATTTAATGACGGAAGGAGTTTAATGTCTTGTAAAAAAACGACGAGCTGATGTGAAACGAAAGTGATCCGAGTGACTTACACTTTCTATAGCTGGTTACGAATTTCATTACACATTTGCGGAGATGACTTGCACAGAGATAAAGCAAAAAGAAAGAAATCACTTCATAATTCGCGTGGAACTATTCTACGCTCGAGGCGCGCGTTCATTCATTTCGTGTCACCCGGAAAAGTTGCGCAACGCGTAACCGTGCACCCGTCTGCCTTTCGTTTCGAATTGTTACCGGCATGTATGTAAGTTTCACCATGAATGCGAATACCATCGCGGATGAATTGTTGTTCCAGAGACGCTGGGGACCGAGTCGACGTGTCGCGCGAGTTCATTGAACTTCGAAACTTTGCGAGCGGCCAGATTTCACTATCTCACGAACGAAACGACGTGTGTCGTCAGCACCTAAACGCGAAATTGCGGAATTGTATCCGGATTTATCTTTTTTTTTCGTTTCGATTTTCTCCGGACACAAAATACGTATCTTTCATATTTTTGTCGATGCAGCGTTACTTTTAATTGCTCATTACATTAGGCTTATTACAAAAGTTACAACTATCTTCTTTTTTAATTTTTGTAATCTATAATATATTTAGAAATGCGCATTTACGAATTTTCTGATTTGTTTAATTTATATACGTTTATGTGCTTCTATATCATATTTTTATGGCAGTTGATGTAAATCCTTACTTTGTTCTGCAATGAAAATTAGAAATGAGACGCAAGAAATGAAACACGCAATTAAATTGTCAAAATCAATTTTATGTATCGTTCAATTACGCATTAGATCCGATCAGATTTGCGTAAGCAATCGAACGAGACATGATTTCCTCATCTAGGAAAATGTATATATTTATATATATATATATATATATATATATATATGTATTTGATCGAGAATATCAAAATATCCAAAGATCATTAAACTACGCAGTAAAGCTTCATTGTAGGACGATAATCACGCAATTTATACATGTTGCATTTATCGCGTCGTTTATGTTTCATTGGATTGAAATGAAGAAAATATTTTATCGAACAGGAGGGATGCCGTTAGATGTGCACCAGATTCTCCAAAGTTATTACGAAACATTTCCGCTTTTTTTCATTTGCTCCGGTTTGCGAAATTGCGATAACCGCAAGCTGTTCTATTAATTACTGATTAGTATGCATTAAATGTATATATTTAAAGTAATTTTCTGTCGACGTATGTACATCTAATTTTCCTATTTGTTTACTGCACATGTCGATCAAATATACATATGAACATTTTTTCTTTTATCAGTATTAGCTTTAATTCGTACGGTGCATTCTGACTTATATCTGTAAACGATTAAATAACTTTTCTCTCGGAAATATTGCCTTGACGAGAGATATTGCGCGCTGCTGCTTTATTAGATATACATGTATATGCAAAAGATTTATGACGATTATAATGCAAAACTATGCAAGCCGTGGAAGAATGCGGTAAAAAAATCTACATCGTTAATAAAGAAGTATATTCGTGTCACGTTTTAAGCGTATATTTTTCTTGGAAACGTTGTTACGTGCTGCATTTCCCACGCCGTGTTGTCTCGTACTTGCTGTTTATTTTTTATATATTACACGGAAGGAATATCCGTCTGACTTTATTTCTCATTATATCTTTTTATCTGATTTTAGTATTTGGGCAGCACAGAGGTGGATCAACCTAAAGGCATCGATGTCGTCAAGGAGGCGATTTGTAAGCTGAAATTCAATCAGCAACTCAAGAAGAGCGAAGGCACGAAAACGCCGAAGGTCGAGCTTACTATAAGTATCGATGGCGTGGCGATACAGGAACCAAAAACAAAAACGACTCCCAAGGTTCGTTGACATAAAAATAGCTTTTTTCTCCGAGAGAATTCCTTGTCTTAGTTACTTTTCATGGCTCGATTACTTTACCGTGATTTGATCGAAGATTATTTTTACAGCGAATTATGCATCAGTATCCGTTACATAGAATTTCGTATTGCGCCGATGACAAAGGAGAGAAGAAATTTTTCAGTTTCATCGCGAAAGAGGAGGATGCAGAGAGGCATACGTGCTTCGTTTTTGTCAGCGACAAATTAGCCGAAGAAATCACGCTCACCATCGGTCAGGCCTTCGATTTAGCTTACAGGCGATTTCTGGAAACATCTGGTAAAGATTTGGAAGCGCAGCGACGCTGCATGGTGCTACAGCAAAAGATAAAACGATTAGAACACGAAAACAACGTTTATCGGCAGCGGCTGCAAGATATCGCAGCTATTAAAGGCTCGGTTAGTGCGCAGATATAAATAAAGAATATTTTATAAAATATTTTTATAATGTATAAATGGAGTTTATATTTTAATATTGATATACTGATAATGAGTGTGTCTGTATATGCAATACTGAATGTGGCTAATCTCGTTTTAGGCGGATGTGTCGGCGTATCTATCACAGCATAATTTACCCGACATTCTTCACGTACTTGGAACTCCGACGGATTCGTCGCAAGTTAATGGCTCGGTTAGCAAAGCATTACTAAATACAAGCAGCGACAGTAACGGAAATACGTCTAATGGACCTCAGCAACCACCGCCAGTGCCGCCGCGAAGTTTCGAGAAAAGTTTCGATGATGATTTTATGGGGTACGTACAGTCAACAAATTTTATTAATCTCTTTTTTTGATTTTACATTTTTTTTTATTTTATAGAAATGAACCAGTGCCAATACCGTCGGTGGGCACAAAATTGGAAGGGTTGTTGATGGATGAATTTGAGGAAGATTTCAATCCAAGGGCTTACGAGACCGCAGCCAATGGTCTTGCCAACCATCAGTCAAACAACAATCCGCTCCTTAATGGTCAAGTATCTTCTGGATTAAACTTCTTCTCGCAATCTAATGGTACGATCAGTCCTCCGCCTCTGTGTAAGTATTTATAATTGATGAAAAAAATATACATCTCTTTTATTATGTTATCCCTGAAAATATTATATTTTCTTTTCAGTGGCGCCACCACCAAAGACGAAAGATTCGAGACGTCAAAACGGAGTCAAAGAAGATTTATTCGGTAGCATTCCTTTCAATCCCACGCCAACTTTAAATATAAAGAATGAGTTTAAGGATCCATTCGAAATGGGAGAATTCGGAGCTTCGACTATGACAGCAAATCCTAGCCAGCAGGAATTGGAAAATGCTATTGGTCTACTAGACAAGAGGCTGCTGGAGATGAAGGTAAAATCATGCAATTTCATTCGGTTCTTAAATTTTCCAGACTTTTTGCTATAGATAGATTGTAAAATGAAATACAATATGTAATGTAAAATTTTTAGGATGGTTTTAGTAGAGGGCTGTGTATTGGAACAGACGACTTTTCTTTGGAGAGCCTGGACCCGCTGCGAAATTAAACTCGTCGAGTAAATCGGAAGCTAAGAGCACTCGAACAAGAACTTCATTAGTACTCTCTAATGCAGAGTACGAAAGACCAATTAACGGATAGAGTAATTAGGAACTATGTCCTTAGGAATTATGTCCGTGTAAAACCAAAATTAGTCAATTATTACTATTATCCTGCTCGTATATTTATGATCATGCTCGATATTTATGGTACACATAAAATAATTTTATAAGGCGTATCCTTCTACGCTCGCTGGTATAATCTATTTTGTTCGCTTTAGAATTGGGGTCCAATTTGATAACGCACTTAGAACGCGTTATCGTTGTTAATAATGAGTCAGTGAGACAAGATCTCAAGTTGACTGCTAGAGTGGAACGAGATATTATTCTAATCGAGGCCACGTAATTTTAAACGAGAATTTGTTTTACACGTGCGGCGCGCGCATACACATATACATGCATACATACGTTAAAACAGATCTTATCGCGAATCTCTCATATCGACGATGGTATGCTTGCGTCTTTTATATTTTTAATGAGATATTAAAAAAAAAGAAACTAATGAATATTATAATCTTGCAGCCACCAAGTCGGATAATGGTGAAGGCCGAGAAATCTCTTAAATTCTAAGAGTTTAGTTAAGAGAAATTTGCAATATATATTTTATACTCGGCTTAGTTTATAAATTAGTCTCTTCATTCAATCATCTGTTTAAAAGTCATCTGTTGTAAAATGTGCTAGTAAAATGTGAGTCACTTTAACACAATAATAGACGACAAAAATCTAGTGGAGCACTAACCATCTGTAGCATTAGAGATCACATTAATAATATGAACGCATAGCTTTCATAGTCCATTGATTGAATTTGTACGCTCCACTCTCTGTCCTCTTTCTTTGATCTGTCGTACTTTTATTCCCTACATCTTTCTTTCAAAGATAACATAATCGAAAAGAAAGGTTTAACTCTAGGAGCATGAGAGATTCTAGTTGTACATTTTATAGTAATCTCTTAAGAAAATCCACCTCAAATTCATTGGACTATTCAATTACAATATAGGGGATAGTTGATACTAAATATATATTACGATAATAACTGAACCGACCAACGTAATATGGAGTGTTAAACGAGTTTATACTATACAAAGTGGATTAGTAATTATGTACATATGGACTTCTATATCTCTTATTATTGTTGCTATATTGTTTAAGATTCATAGTTAAGAATATAGCATATGATTATTACAACTGAAATATTGAATATTTGATGCGTTTTCCTTATAATTCAATATATTAAATTTCGGAGTAATCTGAAAAAGTTATCCAATCGTCATGATATCCTTTTTGCAACTAAGATGTCATTTATAAATTATTCACATTTCCAACTTTTAAAAATTGATTTAACATTGATTTAGCATCATCAATGTTCATAAAATTTCACATTACATCCTTTAAAATTATAAGTAATGGCGTTTCTAAAACTAGCTTTCCTTCTTTTTCTGCCATTTTAATCAGTGATGTCATATCCTATCGAGATGCAGATAATTATGGTAAGAAAAGATACAACGCAAATTAAAGTATGTTAAAATATTAAATATATGTATATAAATTTATATAAAGAAAATATGCAAGAGGATATATGCTACGATCTTCAAGAATCGTATGGTTACTCGCTTGCTGAAGAATATATATTTTTCGGAAGAATTACAAGATGAGGTGCAAGTTTAAAAATATTTTATATTAAACAATTATATAAACCATTTTTTATAATTATACTATTTTTAGAAAATATCAGCAGTAGAAATGCCTTTACAATTTACAAGAATCAATTTATACAGAGTCTCGAAATAGCGAATCATTAAAGAAAATATTGTCATCTACTTGCGCACCTAATGAAGAAAAATATGTAATAAGTATTTAAACATTATGTCCAATTATTCGCGATTACATATGACAATAATTGATAAACTTATATTTTTATATCATGTATCATTGATTCATATTATGAACAATCAATGGACTCTGAAATAGTAGAAAAAAACCTAATCTACAGATAAATACGAAAGTCTAAAATAATTTTCCGAATGTAATAAATGTGACGCTCTATCGTTTAGAATTCCAGCGCTTTTGAATTTGGCGCGTTTTTCTCGCGCGAGACGATACGTCACGTGACCGCTGGCGGCGCCAGCGGCGTGAACGTGGCGCGGCGCGCGCTGCGTCAGTGTTCCGCGAGCCTCCATCGTGTTTTGTTCGTATCCTAGCCCGGTCCCGGCCTCCATCATCGAGTCTGCACCAGGGTGGGAGGGAATCGCCGCCGCCTGCAGACGCGAGAGCTGACGAGAACCGCCACAGAGACAAAAGTGCCTTCTTCCTTCCTCGCCGCGAGCCGAAGATCCCACTCAGGATGGCGGACGACAGCCACGAGAACGGCACCAGCAACGGCGACGTGCCCGAGATCGAGCTGATCATCAAGGTGAGTGTGCCACGCGCGATCGCGAGCGAGATGGATGCGATTTGGGGGGGAAGGGAAAGACGCAGAGAGGAAAAAAGGAGGCGATCGTCTCGTGCGCGCTTTGGGCGTGGAGTCGCACCGAGCGCTCGCTTTATCGCTCCCGCGGGAAGTCTCGAGGGAAATAAGGAGAATCTAGTCTCCTCCTTCTCTCCCGACGCGACCCTGACAATCGACCGCTCCGCGGAAATAATATCTTCGTCCGGTCGTCTCGGACGCCCGACTTTGTTTCCATTTCACCGAAGCCGTCCCATGGAAAATTTTCGCTCCGTAATTTAATCGAACGGTACGTGCATAATGCATGTGCACATAGGTTGTTGCTCGCCTTTTCGCGAACCTCGACTCGCACATGTGTCATCGCGTCGTAGGCATCCTCTTCGTATCTAACGTTACATCAGGGGTCAAGACCGGTTTGCTCCGCGGCTCAATTCAATTTCTGACGCCGCGTACCGCTAACCGTTGCGCTACTCGTCGTCGCGAATAAGAGGATGATTTTCGCGTGTTTTTGTCGAAATTACACACCTTACGTCGATCTCTCGAGTGAATAGAAAATCCGCGCAGATCTGACGCGAAATGCAGTTTTAGATTCTATTTTTATTTTTATTATTTATATTTATATTTTTATTATTTATATTTTTATTTGTCTGATTAATGTATATTTCACGTATAAAAGCTGAATCGCGCGAGTGTCTGAGAATTACGTTACACATTTCTTTACGCATGGAGTCATCGAGGGCGCCGTTCTCGCACACACACACACTCTCTCTCTCTCTCCTCTGTCGATTCGTTTGTGTATTCAGCGGCAGATAGGACGCGACACGACGGAAAGAAGACGCACGTCGTCGTCGCGTCCCTCGCGTGAGGACGGGGAAATGCGGGCGAGAAGTTGCGACCTGGAAAGTGGTCGCGACGGGAAAATGAAAGGCCTCTCCGCGGCTGAACTAGCTTTTCCCCGGTGCCGCCTTATTAGAATCCGGACGGAGATCGCGATTGTCGAGATCGATCTATATTTGCTTGCGCGGTACAAATTCCATCCATCACAGGCTGGCGCATTCCTATATCTTATCGCGGATAAATCGCGCGACGTTTAAATCTTGCTTTAAATCTTTTCATTGCGATTAATATCGATCGTAGAAATATCGGAAAATTTCCTTATTAGGAGTTCTTTAAGGTGTCATCGAAAAATCTCTCGATATTTCATGTCTTTTGCTTTAGAATATAATTAAAATGATATATGATTTCAAACATTATTTTTATAACTTGTTTTAATAATTTGAAAAATGATATAAATACTTAAATTAGAACATCTCGTGATATTACTTGAAAATTTATTAATTTAATTTTATTTATTTCATGGGAAAGGTTGAATGCTAATTCTTTTTACGACCGCGAAAGGACAAAACGGAATGAGTTGAAGCAAAATATGTACGCTATGACGTATTTTAAAAGAAAAAAATACGATGTCGTAAACACGTTCATCGATCTTGCACGATATCGTAATTTCGCGATAACGCTATATTACGTTTTGATTTTGATTAGATAGCAGCAGCGGTTATTTGCGATCGCTATTATTCGTATTTTCGATCGACTCGATTCGTTCGAGGGTGTGAACTCGACGCGAAACTTTCTTTTCACCGAGTTTCCAAGGGGAATGACTCCTTATAAGCGGAAACGAGCTACCTTCGACAAGTGACCATTAAAGAGCTTGCGATTAAACTTTCGCCGGGACCGATCGGATTTCTTCCGAGGAAAATTATCATCCTTATACGCGGTGGTAGACCGAGATTCCACATCATGCATCATTGAATTGTACACATGACTTTCTCGCAAGAAAAGTGTAGTATTTTTTTCGAAATTGCAGAACAATTTTTAAACTTTTCTACACTGAAACAGAAATTGTTGAATTGTACACACAACTTTCTCGCAAAAGAAGTGTAGTATTTTTTTTCGAAATTGCAGAACAAATTTTTTTGAACATTTCTACACTGAAAAAAAATTGTTGACTTGACTAAATTGTTCAACTAAATTACTATTTCCTTAATTGAATATATATTAATATTTAAGTTAAATATACGTTTTGTTAGATCTAATGTTATATATAATTTAAATATTTCTAAATGTTCAATTAATAAAATAATATTTATATTCTCTCGTAGCACAAATATAATTTATAATTTACGTAGTGATGTGCAAAACATTTAACGTAAACATAATTTTGACAAATTAAATTAAGCATCAGGTTGAAAACTTGAATATTAATATTATTATTGTATCTATAAATATAAATATTTGTTATTTCTACAATAATATACAAAAGGAAATGAGAACAATGCATCGCAATGATATGATTTAATGCTGAATTTTGTCGAAAGCGTTCGCTCTTTACTGCTGATCCTATTGTGCGAAGAAATGATTGCCATATCGGTGCAACCTGTCCTCGAATGTGTCAATGAGAATTTTACGCGAAGGCGTTTCAGATAAAACTGACTTATTATCATTTCGATTGTTGCTTAGATAAATATTCAGGTAGTTCGCCGTAAGCCGGATATTTGTTAAAAATGCATGTCTCTTCAGCGCATATCTTTTATGATAAAACATGATAAAACACATGAAATTGATAGTAAATTATCAGCCTCTTTTATACGCGAGATACAGAATTAAACGATAAAATTAATTAATGCATCGTAATTTATGAAAATTTAAATCTTACGAAAGCTCTTGTATATATATCGCTATATTTTATTACGTTTTAATTAATTATATAATAATTATAATGAAGTCTATATATTACAACGTATTTCTAAGAATATCATGAGAGTATTGCCGACAATTTTCTGAAAATAGCGTATTTTGGATCGCGAATATATTAATAAATAATCATGATGCGAACATTCGAATTAGTAAAAAAAGCGCGCGTCGTCCGCATTTTCTTCGTAACGAAAATAACCGTAAAGACGCGATTATTAAACGACGGACCGTTTAATTTATTCGATTAATGGGGTCAGACTGCGTACAGTCGAGTGTACCGGGGCTGGCTGTACCGTTGTTGAAAATCCAAGAGCGGCGGAATGACAGGTACATATACGCAGCCGCACACGGCTATAATTCTGCATTCGATCGTCAAAATCGCACGCGCGAAAGATTTAATGGTAAACGGATCGACCTTGCACTCTCGGGAAGCGATCATGCGAGGTCTCTCGGGTAAGTGTGTCAAACGGGACGAAACGACGAGCGGCTACTACGAGGTCCTCCTCGAGATTCTACCGTTAAACGATGGACTCCTTTACCTTCCGCTTTCCTCGCTCTTCTGGCTTTCCCGGCTTCGATATTACTTCGTTTCCTCGGATCTCCTCTATTATATCTATTACATTTAATATCTATTACATCTAATACGGTGACCATCCGTTTATTTCAAAGGACAGTCCTTTTTTTTCAACTTCACGGAGAGAATCTTCTCTTAGAATTTACCCTGAAAATTGACATTGAAATTTTATGAGTTTCTCGGATTAATCTTTACCACAATAAAAAATAATGTACGTAGTAAAATTAATGGAACATATTTTATATCTTATTATGGTAGATATTAATATTTTTATTGTGGTAAATATTAATCATAGAAACTCTTGTAAAATTCTTCCAATTGCCCACGATTACTATGATTTTCAAGGTAAATTAGAAGAGAAAATTCTCTCTATGTAACTGTCCTTTAGATTTGTTTATCTTCTTAAAACTTGTTCTTTATTTTAAAATTTTGTCCTTTAATTAATTTAGCTGGATTGCTTATCAATCTCCAGAGTTTGAGTTTTGAATGTAGAGGTAATAATAACTTTAGTCTCAAATTGTTTTGGAAATATATTAAAACAAAGTCCTAAAATTTTCAAGTTTGCCCTTTATTTTCCTTGTTTTTTCTCTTTAAACAAATGGTCACTATAATTATATCTCTATGAATGTTTCGAGAACTCATATTTATTGAAAATAGAAGAGTGTAAATTAAATCTAAAAGAAAAAATATAACAAAGAGTTTGCAGTCGCAAGGGAAGCGAAACATATTTTTAAGACAAAAAATAAAAAAAAATTGCCATTTGTAAAGAGACAACGGAGAACAATTCCTGTTTTTCAATCTTTTTCTTATGCAAACATTAATTTCTATGTTCCTTTTAACTGTTTACCCTATTACGATTTAATTATAATGTTTTAATGATCTCTTTTTACGATGTTCCATCTTGCTAGAATTATTTTTCCGACCGCAGTTACTTGCATTAAAATGAAAGAGTATCGCACAACCACACCTGCGGCGCGATCGATCAGACTTTAATCTCCTCTAAGGTCATTGCAAACGTGTCTAGGTGGAAGACAATTCGATAGTTTGCATAGTCGCTTTATAAACATAACATCACATCGCTGCAACGAAGCATGGAAAAAATGCGTGCGCGAAAAGGAGCCATATAGGCGCGTATAAAAAAGAAACGTTTTAAACGCGAGACCGAAAGATATTAATGTTGAAGTGGAAAATCCAGGAAGAAATCGGAAAAACATCGTTCTTCTAATAATATCCGCTTACGAGTATAATATTTCTTCGCTAACAACGTCTTGACACCGACGATTGACATTTTCTTTCCTGCTCATCGTTTCATTCAGAAAAGATGGCGAACGCGTTGTAAAATTATGGCTCTCACCGCATACATACATATATTTCCAGAAGTCGTATTCGCATATATATGTGCATACATTTGCCTATTTCTATTCGTAACGGTGTTGTCATACACAGGATGAACGTTTTGTACGTATGGAAATATTATAAAAAAAGAGCTAAGAGGAGCATCATCTTCCTTATATAGCATCACATTATACATATATGAATTATTTATTTGAAAAGCTGATAGTTTTTAAAAATTCAGTTTAATAATAGGTACACAGCTGATTGATATCACACATTTTATTAGTATATATTTATTATATTTAATTATCATACTTAAAAATACTTCTCGCGTGGTTTAAGACTGAAATTACACCATTTTTAAGTCATTATCCCTCTTGTCGGCAATTTTGTCAAATTGTTCGAGATATAATTTGTTCCAAGATTTATCGTTCGAGAAAAAAAGAATTCTTCGACAAATAATGCGCCGCAGGGCACGCATTATTCTCTTCCGGGCATGTGGAACAAGGTTGTTCGCGATATATTACCATTAACGATATCACCGATGCGTACATCGCTCTTAACCGGTCTTCCTTTTTCCGCTCGATTTCTTTCCCTAGTCTTGTTTTCCGCTATTTCGGTACAGCTTCAGAAAGAGAGAAAGAGAGAGAGCCTTGCAACGATGTCGCGGGATCGCAATAAACGCAAACCGCATACGCGCTCGCGTAACAGACATTATTATAAACTCTTCTGCTTCTCGCGAACGTAATCCGGGATTCCTCGGCGAAGATTCCTGTTTCCACCTTAACTCGCATATATCGGCCGTAAATATGCTGAATTCGATTAAACGTCATATCTCCTGATGCGCGCGTTTAGGAAACCGCTTGTGCTGTGACTTTTTCGAGGAATGGAATTCGCCTGCGTATATTTAATGCGTGTGCCTTATTTGTTTCACGGGAATTAAACCGCGACGTGCAAATTGAAATGGCCTGAATAAATGGTATCTCGGAGAGGGAACGTAATATATCAGACGATCGTGCGAGAGATATCGAAGAAATTTAGCGCATCTTATATTACGTCAGGCGTAATAAGATTCTGACGGATTCATTATATTTTTTATTCCAAATATCGATGGATATCGATGCGTATCGAGATGATAGGTACTGTTATAACGTGGCGTACGAATTTTCAAAGCTTTCGTAATAGAGAAAGGAGGCGAGGCTGGCGAGGTAAAGGGAGATTGCAGCGTTCGAAGAGATGAAAGATGCTCAGTGTCTTCGTGACATTTGATCCACCATGAGCCTTCCTCACACGTGACTCGTACGTGAATACCTTCGGCACGAATACCAAACACGTTGGATTTCCGCATAGTCTCGAAAATATTATTAACTGTAAATTGTTACCATTCGTTTGTGCCGCTCATATAGGTACTTTATGTCTTATGTAAGCTCAATTTTGGTAACGTCAATTGGCTCTACACAGAGAGATCATTTTTTCGTAGAATTTACTCTGAAAATCATGGTAACAAAATTTGTGGGACAGCATGGTATTGGAAGAATTTTAAAAGAATAATTACATATTAATATTTTTTATTGTGATAAATATTAATTCGAGACTCTTACAAATTTATCTTTCAACACCATATATTTAAATTCTAAGAGAAAATTCTCTCCGTGTGTAATTCTTTTTAGTTTTGAAAAACTATGACAAGATTGAATAAACTTAATATTAAAGGTAAAATTAAAATAATGCAACGCAGGTAAAATGAAAATTGATAAAACCATGTTTGCGCGAATTATTTTCCTTTCCGTTGCTTGCTAGGCGTTGCTGCACGCCTTATTTGGAATAAATGACTCATCATAAAGTCATCTTGCACAATCTCGTGTACGAAGGGGAAGGACAACTCTTTGGATATACATGTATACACCTTGGAATTCTCTATTAACATAACTATCGCGCGAAAAGCGGAGCTTGAGGGTCAAATAGAGTCTTCGCTCGTCTTCGCCAAATTATTATTCCATTTTTTTTACATTCTCGTACATTCTGGAAATAATAGAGCTTCGTCGACAATGATACTTTGAACGTTACAGAGAAAAATAATTTCGATATTATATCAAGCGACTCTGAAAGGTGTTCTACAGATGCGTCTGTAATGAATATCTGAAGAATCATTATGACACACATTTGCATATATATTACAATTCAATGATAAGAGCATTTGAATCTCATTTATAAGACGAATAGGACTTAGAACAAGACGCGGCAAAATATATAGCGTTAAGTAAAATATCTCGATATATTGCAATGTTTTATAAATATGTGACTTTAGAGATAATTTTATTTGTAAATTGCGCCTTCTACTTCTACTTTGCTGTCAGTTTTATAGAGATGTTTTTGAGAATTTATTATATTTAAAAATAGGGTAGTATGTAGTATGCGTATGATTTTTAGAGAGCATCTTGTCAACAAGCGACTCTACATTTCTAAATCAAACCGACGATGCTGTCAAATATTTATAGATGGTTTTTTTGCATTTCAAATATTACGCATGTCTGAAAAATTACATTATAAAATATTTATAAAAATTCGATAGCATTGTCACGCTTTGATTTAAGGGACGCACAGAGTTGTTAACACACAGAGAATTTTCTCTTATAGAATCTACCCTGAAAATTATATGGTAATCGTGGGATAATATGATATTGGAAGAATTTTATAAGAGTTTCTCTCTGATTAATATTCACCACACTAAAAATATTAATATCTATCACAATAAGATATGAAATATGTATGTTCGATTTTACTATGTAGATAGATAAAATTTGCTATGTATACATATTAATATTCTTTATCGTGGTAAATATTAATCAGAGAAACTCATAAAATTCTTCCAATATACATACCATATTGTCTCAATGATTGATTAGCAGGATAAATTCCAAGAGAAAATTCCCTCCGCGCAGGATCCTCTCCGAGGATCATACGCGCTAAATAGAGCCTTGACTTTCTCACAACATTGTGCAACGTCCGAAAACGGATCGTGCGTCATCGCCGAGAAGGAATACGGAGATGCGAGCGCGAGAGGAACCAGCTGCATGACGCATATGAGACTGGAAAGTAAAACATCGGTTGGTAGTAGTAAAACGATAGTAACAAAGGCTGGATGATATCGCGATCTCTTCATTTCTCTAACCGCGGCTCATTCTGGAAGAGCGCGGTTGATTGTTGACGGCCGGATGAAAATAGAATCTCCGAGAAAGAGAAAGAGAGGCCTGGCGAGCTGCCGGGATTCGATTTGCTCGAATTACGGCAATACCGCGGGCAATCAGCAGGCCTGGCCTTACGAAGGAGAGCGATTACGTTACACAATGTACGGGTTGTTTAGCTACCATCGCTTGAGTGAAGGAGCAAAGTATCGGGATAACGATCAGAATGGAATGTCGTAGCGAAAGATATTCGTTCACACAATTGTCCATTAGACACGGTATTGGATACAGTATACTTCGTACTAACAATTCTCGGTTAAAGGTTGAAAACTATGAACGCGTGAAAGATGCACAATTGGATTAAATGCCAGGGAGAAATCAAACTCGACGATTAAAGGCTGACTAAGGTATTGAAAAGTAGAAAGCTTTTTTTGCAACATTATAAAGTGAAAAATATTTATAAAGATTGATATAGTCTAAAATTGCTTAGCATTAAAAATATCAGGATTTGGGTTCAGAAATAACGCGTCTGTGGAAAAAAAGGAACGAAAATAAAGAAGAGATAATTTAGATCGGCAGATTGCGTAAGTTTTTTTTTGGAATGACCATGAGCATCACAGAGAGTAGGACGCGTCAGAGAGCGAGTAAATAAACCGTGACATCGGGGAAACGAGAGCGGAGCTCTAGCAACTTTGGTACGACGTACTCTCTCTCGATTCGACCGATCGAGCGGGAGAAAACGTGGTGGGACTCTCGTCCGGGTTTGACTAATGGCTGGGTTTGCTCATCACGCGCGAACACAAAGATCTGTGCGTTTTGCCACGCCGTTGTTGGATACGCGCACTAGTTGCGCGATGACGTCAGGGCTCTTATCGCCCGGAGATACAAACAGGATAATCCACGAGATACCACGGAATTTACATGCCAGCTCGCTAGTAGCCGCGAAAACATAATAAAATATTTTACAATTAAATTACAAAAACATATCTCTTTTAATTTAATATTTATTTTTTATTGAACATATATTTTTCAAATAGCGAGGAAAAAGAGAAGAAGAGAAAGAATCTATTATTTCTATTTAAAAATATATTTTAATTATCTAAAAATATATATATAGCGAAATTTGATTCACTTGGATTCCGTCTAACGCAGAAAATATTGTTTTTAGGCATCGACGATCGATGGCCGTCGAAAGGGCGCCTGTCTCTTCTGCCAGGAGTACTTTATGGATTTGTATCTTCTGGCGGAGCTAAAGACGATTTCCCTGAAGGTGACCACCGTGGACATGCAAAAGCCGCCACCCGACTTCCGTACCAATTTCCAGGCCACCCCGCCACCCATCTTGATCGACAACGGCGATGCGATATTAGAGAACGAGAAGATCGAGCGACACATCATGAAGAACATCCCTGGCGGGCACAATCTGTTCGTACAGGATAAGGAAGTGGCCACTCTCGTGGAGAACTTGTTTAGTGTGAGTGTCAATTAAATCCAAATCGAAAGTGAAATCGATCGAGAAATCAAACTGTTTGAAATCGTATCTCTCTTTCTTTAACTAAGCGAGAAATTACATGTGTCTTTGGGTTTGCAGAAACTCAAGCTGCTGTTACTGAACGCGAAGGACAAGGACAAGGATCCCAAGTCCTCGTCATTGATGGCGCATCTACGTAAGATTGATGAGCATCTGGGTCGCAAGGGCACGCGCTTTCTTACCGGCGACACCATGTGCTGCTTCGATTGCGAGTTGATGCCGCGGCTGCAGCATATCAGGGTCGCCGGCAAGTATTTCGCCGACTTCGAGATACCGGAGACCCTGGTGCATTTGTGGCGGTACATGCACCACATGTACAGGCTCGACGCTTTTCTACAGAGCTGCCCGGCCGATCAGGATATCATTAACCACTACAAACTGCAACAGGTGAGGCGCGCGGGTCGACCTTTAATTGCATACAAGTTGGCGGTTGAATTGAATAATTAGCACTCTTCGACGAATGCCTTTAATTTGCACCCACACTTCTTGCGATGACGCAATTATTACATTCGCTATGCGCAGCAAACCGCGATTTTTCCCACGTCCGTTACCGATGTAATTAAAACGAACTTCCGATATTTTATTGCAGAGTATGAAAATGAAGAAGCACGAGGAGCTGGAGACGCCGACCTTCACCACGAGTATCCCGATTGAGGTCAACGATGATTAGGCTGGATCTTCCTCGAGTCTTGCGATCGCGTGACTTTGATTAGACATCGAGATCGAGACTTATATCGAAACGGCGAATCGTCTCGACAGAGTTTCAATGGCGCGCGCATTTTGTAATTTAATATCTATTATTATAGTATTTTTAAAACAAACGGGAATTTTTCCATTGAAACTCGCGTCTTTCCAGCTGCCAGCTCGTGCCCTCGCCGTATCATTGATCGATTCATATCTTTTTGCTAAAGCAATCATTGCTGAATGCCTAAATCCCTTTTCTGGGATCAAGTCAGGTGTAAACGAATTAGCTTTTTTACCGCAAACGACGCGAAAATATATATATATATATATATATATATATATATATATGTATGTATGTATAAATAAATATAAGTGCATTAAGACTTAAGTCTTAGTATCAATAGATTATCAATTTTCTCTATTTTTCTTTTTTTTTTTTTTTTCCTCGCTATGTATGGCATACATACGTAGTTTTGACCTGAGTAGTATTAGCAAGATTTTAATTTGCTATTATTGATTCAAGGCTTAAGTTGATTGGAAGAAGCTATCATGATTTTGTCACTTTTTTAATGGCAACAATCGTGGAAACTAATACCAAGAGTGCAAAAGAAACGTATGCATTTGCGGGAATTAAATTGGGTGCCATTATTATATCTTTGAAAATTTAATAAAATTTATTTTAGTCTCTTTAAATAATTATTTCTAGACATTAGTCTTACGCGAGAAACGTAAGTAAAGTTGAATAAAACATAAAATATAAAAAATATTTGAGAGCTAACATGTTTCAATATTATTTGCGTAACTTTTTTATAAATATGTTAGAGTTTTCTTAATTATTATCTCTAGTTCTGTTATAAGTTATTGTAATAATCGAAATATTTGCGTTTAATGGAAAGAATATGGAGTTTAAAGTCATAAATTTGTTTAACACAGTTTCATGTTTCTAAACGCGATTGCATGATGAACGCATGCGTTATCGATATACATAGAAGAAAAAAGGAAACGTTTCGCTATATCTTGCAAAACAAAATGGTGCAAAAGTGCATACGTTTCTTGTGAATTCCGCGGTGTAGGTATCTTGTTATATTCCCGTTTCATTGTTAGCACTTTTACTGATTTTTACAAACGAAGAACGAGTATTGCAAGCGTAACGTTCTCCGAAGTTTCTCGAGTCGAAAGCATTTAAAATAATAACGGCATCCAAGAGCATCGACTCTGCTTATTTCCGCACTAATACACAATCCACTGTTCCAGAAAAACAGAAAACGAGCGATTTTATACTCGTAAGCAACTGTCTATTTTCGCATTAGTAATTCTATTATTATTATTACTATTATTATTATTATTATTATTATTATTACTATTGTATTATTAATTTTGGTTTATATATCCGTAAAAATCAATATACCAGTGTTTACATTTAACGCCTAGAATCCCATCATTTATCACGGTAAGAATATATGCGGCATGCGTTATCTATATGTTATTTTTATATATCTGGCGTTATTTTTTCTGTATATTGTATATATAATAATGTTTTCATATTTTGTAGTGTATATACAGATAGAGTTAATACAAGATTTTTGTTCAGTACGCGTTATCTGTAAATAATGAAGAAAATGGTAAAATCATTAAGCACAACGAATGCAAGGTAATTAAAAAAAACTCCAAATCTTTATAATTATGTTAAATTATAAAAAAAAAAAAAAAGATTAAGCATTATCTTCATTAGTATATTTTTTATATTTTCTACAAATGTTTCTCGATCATTTTGCTGATTTATAGTCTCACAATTTTTTTCGCAAAAAAGAGAATCTCGAAGTCGAGAGATATTCGGATACGAGATATACCGAGGGGGAAGAGGACCGTATCCGTCGCGACGTTGTCGGTGTCCACCGGTCTCGTACCCGCTCTAAAATAGCACGCATCCGTCCCTTCCCTCTCGTAGCGAGCTATTATGACGCGTCTCCCATTCATAAATAGGGACGGCGCTTATCGCCGCTCCGAGCGGCGGCCATCTTGGCTGCGCGAGTTCCCGTCGACGACGTCGTTCCTCGAAAAATCCACGAGGAATATCACTCGACGCGCGAACGGAGAGACGTCGCGTCGCGCGCTCCCTATTCGAATCTCGCGCGCGCGGAAGTCGCGGAGCGGAAGTGGCGCGCGACCAGCGCGGTGGTTAGGCGCTCGGCGCACAGCTGATCAGTGGCTTCGACGGACGGTAGCCGTTCGGATCGTCGTCGCGGCGGAAAACGCGGAAGGAGGCCGGTGCGGAGCAGCGTGTGTATCAATGTACGGAGGTGACAGTGAAAGGTTCTCCGGAAGAGGACGAGACGAGGAGAAAAGAGAGAGAGAGAGAGAGTGAGAGATTTAGGAGTTCGTGAGGAAGAGGAGGTGGTGCACAACGACGTCGCAGCCCGCCCTCGTCGGACGTTTCCGATGGTTGCCGTCCGGTAAGTGTCGACCCCGATCGGGACCAATGAATTTTCGGCGCTCCAGGACGCCGATCGTCGTCGTCCTCGTCGGCGGCGGCGACGTGGACGACGGCGTCTCGCTGAAAAAGTGGGGGAAAGAAGGAGGCGCGCGACACGAAAATACACCTGCGGTGGAATGCACCGGATGGATACAACAACAATGCGTGGACGAAAGAGAGAGATTCGGCCATCGTGTCCGGTTTCGCTCGCGTTTGTGATTCCGAGATTTTCGTCGTCTCTCTCGCTTCCTTTCTTCCTCTTTCCTCTGATCGAGTATTCAAATATGTGTGTATGTGTGTATAATATGTGCGCATGGGCGTCCGCAGGGGGGAGGGCAAAGGGGGCATTTGACCCCCCCTGGAATTAGTAAAAGAATTTAGCATTTGCTCTACTTTTGAATGAACATGAATTGATTTGCATATCAATAGTATATAGAAAATATATAAAAATATTAAGAATTTTTTTCAAATATGCTTAATATAAAAAAATAAAATTTTAAAAAAAATAATAATATATATATACAAGTTAATACATATATGTATAATAATATTTATAAAATATACATATAAAAATACATTTAAAAAAATAAAGATGACAAAAAAGTTAGATTTTAAAATTAAAGAACAAAAAAATTTAATTATGCCGCCTCCTGGAAAAAATCCTGCGAACACCCACGTGTGTATGTGGTGTGATGTGTGTGTGTATATTTTTTTATTCTGAATATATAAAAAAGCATAGCGTGGCGCAGCAGCTGGTAGAAATGGTTTATATCGAAACCGATGTAGGTTTCTATCTTTAAACATGTCTACGCCGATGCGCGGCATAAATGCGAAATAAAAAAATTCTTCTGCGATGTCATAGCTTCAATCGTTGCGTAAACAAATTATGAAGATAATCTATCGCGAACATGAAAGGCCGATACACGCATTATAAATGTTAACAATTGCGTGTTCGTAATAAAAACATAATATTAGCGAGCGTAAACAAACTGGAATAAATTTCTTTTTATTTTAATGAATGCGATTTNCATAAATGCGAAATAAAAAAATTCTTCTGCGATGTCATAGCTTCAATCGTTGCGTAAACAAATTATGAAGATAATCTATCGCGAACATGAAGGCCGATACACGCATTATAAATGTTAACAATTGCGTGTTCGTATAAAACATAATATTAGCGAGCGTAAACAAACTGGATAAATTTCTTTTAATTTTAATGAATGCGATTATTTTTCGGAAATTTTTACGTCACTGCAGAAACGGAGAATTGTCAGATAAATTATAATCATTTCATGTATACATAGACGAAAATGCTAAATGGGACTTTGAGCAGAATAGTTACGATGACCATATTTTCTGTGAAAGAAGATAAAGACCAAACCTGAAAATTTCAAGACTGTTTCCAAATTAGTTTGCGACCAAAAGAAATCGACGTGCAAAAAAAAATTAATTCTGTGACTGTCAGAAAATCTATACATATTCTTTGAAATTAATTCGACTATGCTGAAACATATCCTTGGTTTTTTAAATAAATTCCAGATAGAGGTTTAATTATTTTCATTTTTCAATTTCATATTAATACTACAGCATATTAGACATTAAAATGTTAAATAAAAAATAAATCAACAAAGTTGAGTTAAAAAAAATGAATAAATTTGAAGGATAACTTGAAATAAAAATGGTCACCGTAAGAAAAATATAATTTTTTTCTTTTTTCGGAGATGTCGCATAAATTTGGATCGTAAGAGACACGAGAGAACACGGATGCAAATTTACTCTCTGCTCGACCGGAAAGGTGTCGGAGGAGGGAAAATGGGAAAGAGAGGAGGCGAAAAGCGTATTAGTTGTACGACAGCCGCGGCCTGTATCGCTGCATCAATTTAACGTTCTGCCATAAAACAAATGTATCGCGTGCCTGTCATAACAAGCCCGCGATGAAGCGTTACATCTCTCGCTGCGTCGGTTTATTTAAAGTCGGAGTACTAGCCGACGATTGGCCGACAGGGCCAGGTGCTCGTCTCCTGCGATTGAGACGTCCTGGGGCGCCGATTGATGCGCCGCGACGTCTTGCACTCGGAGCGTATTTGATCGCGTAATTAAATCTCAATCGTACGTCAAATTCGGACAGAATTTATGCACCGTATAAAAGTGCTTTGACCACAAAATTCTGCAAAAAATTGCTACAATTTTAATTTTATTAAACTTATTACATTCGTGAAAAAAACGACCAATACTGGACTGCAAAAATCTTCTTTATTTATTTAATTCATGACGTTTCGATCACTGTGGTTTAGGTCTTTATCAAATGATTAATTCTTTTAACGTCATGAATTAAATAAATGAAGAAAATTTTTGTAGTCCAGTATTGGTTTTTTTCACGAATGTAATAAGTTTAATTTAATTCTTACTGACGACTAATCAATTAACAAAGACATCAAAATATTTTAATTTTTATATTCAGTCACGATATCATCCTTTTATTTTGATAATTCTATTATTATTGATACGCTGGGAGAATTTTCTCTTAGAATTTAGCCTGAAAATCATAGTAATCGCGGGAGTTTCTCTGATTAATATTTATTTTACAATAATAAATATTATCTAATATGTACATAGTAAAATTAATCGAAGATATTTTATATCTTATTGTGATAGATATTAATATTTTTTATTATGGTAAAAATATTAATCAGAGAATTTTTTTATCAAACTCTTGCAATATCATATTGTTCCACGATCACCATGATTTTCAGGGTAAATTCTAAGAGAAAATTCTCTTTGTGTATATTAATATGAAATATCAAAAGAATGTAATTTCATGGATATTCATTATTTTCTTATTTTTTATTTTTTTTAATATTTGCGATAAAAATGTATTAAATTCCAACAACTCAGAAATTTAATAAATTCAAGGTACCTGACTTTGAATTATGTAAATTTAATCTAAATTTAATGAAGTAATGTAGCAAAGTAATTTTTCGCGATTGCTTTCACTGTTGACGCAGGAAGGAGAGAAATTTTCTCCGAGAAATAATTCGACGACGATTACGCAACCACCGATAAATTAGTCGTCAGATCCTCTCGGTAATTTCGTTTAATGGTTCAATTAAAATACGCGTGCAAATACTGCGAATACTCGCGACGGTGAAAGTTTTCATCGGAACGTGATTGCTTGTTATGCATGGAATTTGGATTTAAAGGCCGACAATGTTTATATTTAAACGAAAGAGTAGCTCGAAGAATCCATATCAACCCTTTTAAAAATAATTAAATAATTAAAAATAATTAAACATAATTGAAAATTATTTCTTTTGTGTTTTGACATATAAAAAATATTTTTTCATAAAATCTCGAAGCAAAATTCAGAATATTTTCATAATTACTGGCATAATTTTTTATCATTTCTGATTAAGTGTCGATATCAATTCTTCGAGCGACTCTTTCGCTTAATAATAAATTAATTATTTTTTATAATTTTTAATATTGAATAATTTGTTAAATTAAATGACATGAGTCTCGAGTGAACCACGTCGGATTCAACAATATTAAATGAACTGTAGATACATATCAGAGAGACGTCTAAAGAATTGTGACACTTGCAGATACATAAGACGATGGATGGCATAGGCGGGACGTTTTGCGGTTTCTCGTGTGAGAGGGAAAAAAGTGTGAGAATATTGTCTTCGGTAGCGTTTATTTTTGCCACACGACTTATCGTACGGTTGTGGTTAACGTTAACGGTGCGCGCGTCTCACCCGTCAATTATTATTCTTGGTTCCTTATTTTCGTCTGGTGGCTGCGCGGACCGACTTGACGCCCCCGATATACATTTACATACATTAAACTCCGCGACGCGGATTAGCTCTTGTCGTGTCGGATTTACACGGGTCGTCGACGTCGAATCCGCGCGTCGACTCTCTTCTGCCCTTTCTGTCCCTTTTCATTTGTCGATATTGAAAAGGGCATAATTACGATGTCCACCGTCCTTTATTTTAGAGGCCAGTCATTTATTTCAAGGCTGTAGTTGTCCTTTAGATTTATTCATTTTTCTAAAACTCAATTTTGTCTGTTATTTTTTATTTATTTTTTATTTTAATGTCATAGTGTATACGACCGTGCATAGTATTAACATGAGAATTAATATACATGAAGAATTTTTGATGGTAATCGTGGGACAATAAAATATGTTCGATTAATTTTATACTACGTATTCATATTTTTTATTTTATTGTGGTAAATATTAATCAGAGAAGCTCTTACAAAATTCTTTCATTATATTGTCCCACGATTATCATAATTTTCAGGGCAAATTCTAAGAGAAAATTCCCTCTGTATACGAAAACCTTTTTAAAAGAATTTATTTTTTCTTGTTGATTTCTTTTGGTCGCAAACTGATTTGGAAACACGTTGAAACAAAGTCCTAAAAAATGTTCAAGATTGTCCTTTTTTTTGTCCGAAAATATGATCACTATATAATCGATAAGGAGATAATATGACAACACATATATGAAATGCACATTCGATATGTTCGTAAAAAAAATATATTCGACATACTTTATAGAGTCTTAAAATAGACTTACGAGGCACGCCACGACTCCAAGTCGCTACTCACGGTTCATTACGTCCGTACGTCGCCGTGCTAATGAAACGTTATTACGTGCAATTAGCTCCCGGGACCCGTTGCGAAGCAACAGGTGCCGCGGACAGCCGTGCGCTTAGTAATTTTAAGGACTCATCGCGCAATTCGTCACGTAATTCTCGTGGCGATAAAAGGCAAAACGTAATCGTTCGGACCTCTTCGTGGTCCTCTCTATTAAGAGCTCTCTTCTCTTCACAGAAAATTGACGGAGGGGTCTCGACACCTTTGGGAATTGTGTCTCTTTTCGCGAACTTAATGTTCCTGTTTTTCTGTGGATCGCTCTTTCGGCCTCGGATTTCTTCGAAGAGGCGGATTTCCGCGGCGCTTAAAAATAATTCCGCGCGGAATAAAAGAAAACGAAAGGTGGAAATACCGGGGCGGAATCCGCTTTTCCTCGTGTTTCTACATCACGGAGCCAGACGAAAACAGCCGCGCTGCGTTCGTGTGTCTCCTGGGTATTTCATGACACAAATATCTTCTCGGCAGCCTGGAATTCCGCTTTTCCTTTTTCGCTTGTCCCGACGCCGAACGGCGCTTTCGTTTCTCCTCTTAAAACGATCCCCGTCTCGCCGACGAACGTCTCCCGACTTTCCGCGATGTGTGTCTCTATTTTTCTGTCGATATGTAGAGAAACTTTCATTGTCAGTCGCAATTTTATCTTTCCATCGAAAGTGTCGCTCGAAAATGTCAAATATGTCTAAACTGTAATACATTTTCTCTTAGCTATACGAATTCTTTGAATAAGTCGAAGGGAAACTCGAAATGCCGGTTAATTTTTCGATTTTGGATAACACACACCTCCAATTTTATAATTATTCGTAAAGTTAAAATTTTGTTACAAATAGTTCAAGCTGAATTTTCCGATTTAAATATAATTTCGCGGACAAAATTCGCCACGTTCAATCTGCTGTCACGACGCGTTTAATTTCGAGTCCACGTTCCCCGCGATAAGTATCGTCTATTTAATTTGTCACAGAGCACACGCGACAGCGGCTATCCTCGATTACATTCTACGCCATTGAAAGAGTGCCTTTGGCACGAACAGGTTGATTTATTCGGCTGGTTGTGCGCGAGATTCGCGAACAAGGACCGGAACGAATTCGCGCGGCCACCATCTTCGAATCCCATCTGCCCACTCGCATTTATTTGCATTTCGCTCATTTACATATAGACTTGATTTCGAAAATCTCGAGAAAGAGAGTGAATTACTTGCCAAAGATTGTCGCGAAGTAAACGAATCTAAAATAATGTCCGCGGAGAAGTAATATATTATATTCTTCCACATACAAAAATTTCTACAAAATTCATACAAAAAATGCTATTTAATTTGTCTATATTTCTTTTTTTTTTTATTTTTATGTAAAAGCTACACAGAGAAAATTTTCTTTTAGACTTTATCCTGAAAATCATGGCAATTGTATACGACAATATGGTATACTGAAAGAATTTTAAAAGAGTTTCCCTGATTAAATATTGTATATACTCCATAATAAAAAAATTAATATCTATTGCAATATATACAATAGATATACAAATATGTTCGATTAATTTTACCATATACATATTAATATTTTTTATTGTAGTAAATATTAATCAGAGAAACTCTTATAAAATTTTTCCAATATCAATTTTCAGGGTAAATTCTAAGAGGAAATTTTCTCCATGTACGTCTAGAAGTGGAGGGAAATGATGTATCGAATTTAGATCAAATTAATTTACAATTAATGAATTGAAGAACAGACACGTTTCGTATCTCTTCCGACGTTTAGAGACACGAAATTGTATATATAGGAAGCGATGTAGAGCCACGCGCCACTTTTCTCTCTGATTGATGCCTCACTCACCTGACTCGCGATCTCGCCAGGTGCGGAATGAAAGAAAAGGAAGCGGCGGAGATTATTAATTCCCTCTAGCACTTTATTTCACCGCGTATGGACGTGTGCCAAATGCGAATTCCGAATGCGACCGAAGCTTTTTCGTCTCTCCTTCGAAGTCTTTTCCAATCGAATTGGCGTCGCGCGCGACGTTCGCCAAAACCGAGCTCTCGTGAGAGCAATTTAATGCAAATCATCGCATCCTGAGAGAGTATTTTTTTTAAATTAATTTAAAAAGGAAGTCGACGGTAATTAGGGGAAAAATGTTCTCTGTTTTTTAATCATCAAAAATCATTCACACTGGTCTCGCGTACAATACTCGTACTTCATTATTTTGCCATTTTTTTCTACATTTGTGTTTTTCTATATTATAATATACTTTTATCTCTTTTTTTAGGTACTTTTAATTGATTATTATTACTGGCATAATGTACCGTTTGAAAAAAAAATTTAGCTACAGTCTCGCGCTAGCGTCCTTTTTCGCAAATAAACTTATCCGCAAAATTGCATCATAGTGTCTTTAGTACCGGTTAATTATGCGACGCTATTACGTAGCAGACCGCACAGGTGTCCATCGTCTTCCTACGTAGCTGCCAATTCCACGATGTAACGGGTGTCGTAGAGCGATCAGTCGCGTTGGAATAGATCAGAATTTTAAATTAGCCCGCGCAGATTTTGGCAGTTTTTGAAGAAAAAATTCTGCAATGATTCATCTCGTGCGTAAGCATACATATTTAGATTTCTTCTGAATACATATATCAGTTTATATAGTTGCTATTTTTTAGCTATACTATTTTTAAGAAAGATAACAGCAAGAATACGTCTTGTAACAATACCTAAATATTAGAATGCAAATAAAACACATCTTTTTGTTATTAAGATATAATTTCGATCAGACCGATGATGTCGATTGTATTTGCAGGAAAACAATGTAAGCTTGTAGACGACATAGAGGGTCAAAAGGAATTCTTCCCGGGAAAGGATGACGTAGATTTGTCTAATTAATCTTGAGAAACGATTGAAAAATGAACAATGAATTAGCCAGTCAAGTTATAAATATACAATAAAACGTGGCATGTGGAAGAAAGGAACTTTTCAAGACTATGACCCGTCGAATCTTCTCCCGAGGAAGGAAGACAGACAGAAAGGGAAATAAACCTGCAGTTTCGCCGCGTTTTCCGATTGCCAGGTTCCACAATCTTTTTTTCGTACTTTTTCCCGTCATCGTCGCACGTGATCGGGTCACATAGAAAGTCCGACTCGCCGATCGTCGTTTTTCACGCTCTCGTCCAACTTTCTATCAGCGCGACGTCGAGATCGAGATCGCCCCGACAAGTCTAGGAGGAGCGCTCTTTCGATCTGGATACGACCCAACTCGCTTATCCAATGAATTACAAAATATATACCTAGCTTTCTGGGAAAGCTTCCGGATCGCGTTATTACGAGAGAACCTCTTGGCTCGTCTTACGTTATCGCAACCGATGATCATTACACAAAAGCCGAGGGAAGAGAAACGCGGGTGTGTCCTTCTCTCTTGGCGCGCGCTCGCTCGGTTATTAGTAGCGTAAATTTATGGGAACGCCGGACTACATTGTATGCCGAGACGTAATATGTAACGATATATAATATACGTGGCACCTGCAGGTAGAGGCCCTGCCAGGAGGATGGGGGCCCACGATGGGGGAGTGCCACTGCTCTAACATCACTATCATGCAGCTGTTCCACGAGCTGAAGCAGCAGTTCCCCGCGCTCCCTGATCACGTCGTCTCCCAGTGCATCGCCCAGGTATACAGGTGTCCGTCCCGGAGAGTGTGGGCCTGATTCAAACAAAACCCCTTTTCCCGCCGATCTCTCGAGCACCCGGAGAGAAGGAGAGAATCGCTGAAAAACTAACTCTAATCGCCGCAATAACGACTAACCGCCGCGCCGGCGCTTAACACGGTTTACGATGTACGATTTATAATGAGAATTGGCAAATCCTCGCCTCCTTCCTCGCCTGTATGCATCGTTCAATCCATTTGCACGAGCGTGGAACCTGTGTGTATCTTGTTTAAGTATATATATATAGGTCGTTCTCCACAAAAACCTACCTTCATGTACATTTGGATTTCTTTAGCCGGTTTGGAAATTATTTTGTTATATATATTTTTTATTCGAGATTTAAAAATATACAAATTCATGTAACAGAAAGAAAAAATTGCAAAGATGAGATGCAATAAACCATATTGATATATATTTTCGTTTTGCTCAACATCCGATGAAAGATTGCGTCCAAATTGGCCGAGGAAATGGAAGACTGTGCATAAATCTTTCTCTCAGCATCACACACACACATATATCTTACATGTACGTGCGATGTCCGGGAATAATTATAAGCGATCGCGCTGGTCTCGCGCGTTCAATTTTCGGAACGCGGCGAGGAGCCCGAAGGAACGTGGGAACCGCGAGGTCGGACGTGCGTTCCGCGACATATATTCCCCGATATTTGGACAAATCGACGTCACGGGGAGATCGACGCCAAACTGCTGATCGTAGGTACGTGTGGGTTGCAGAACAGTCACGATCGGGAGATATGCGCGAGGAGCCTGCGGGCCACCCAGGAGTCCCGTCCGTCTCCGGGCGCGTTTCCACCGCCGGCGCCTTGCATCGGGGTGCAGCAACAGCAGCAGCAGCCGTCATCTCCGCCGCAACAACGAGACCAGCAACGTTGCTGCGCGATGAACCAGGTGCAACATCAGGAACAACCGCGCGGCATCGCCGTCGGCGTCAGACGTCCCCATCGACCGGCTTCCTTGGACATCGGTATGACACGCCGTTGCATCCCTTCTGTAGGTTGCATCCGCGCCGTCGCGACCTCGACGAGCCCTCTCGTCGTTACTCCCTCGTCCGCTCCAGCCGTCTGCACGTCGCGGGGCTTCTTCGACGAGGGTTGCACCGTCAATAGCAACGGCAGCAACGCGCCCTCCGGCTTCGAGCTCAACGTCAACGTCGCCTGCAGCCCCGCGGGCAATCGCGGTACGAAATGCTGAACATGGAATTGACATCGTATTCGCAATATTTAACGTAGAGCGGAAGGAGTTATATAAGAATTTGTACAAAACTCCGTCGAGTTTATATATTATTGGATATGAACCAATATGAATGTATAAGAGGAGCAGGTTTTTAATATTTTAATTATTTTTCTCAGGCGAGATATGTTTCTATATTAATATACGAGTAGCTGAGCTACCAGTATCGAGCGTTAAATATGTGTACATACGATTAAGCGAGACTGAGAATTAGATACGATGGTATCGAATCAAAAGTGATCGCGGCACAATGAGAACTTTATCTCGCTGATAAGATAAATCAAGAAGAATGTCTATACATGTTGAAGAGATTAATGAAGCGAATCGTATAGCAACGCCAAGCGTTTTCTTCTCGGAAGTAATCGAATCGTTATTCTTTTGTGGCGTACTTCTATATTGCGGATGTTATTGTAGAAATTATCAATCGCGCTCGCATAAGCTCTCACAATCATCATTCAGAAACTCGAACGGACCAGTAGACTCGTAAGTAGACTGCGAAATGCAAACATGTACCGTCGACTTCTCTTTTGATTGTAGCCATCGACTCTAAAATTGGTCGCGAAAATGATTGAAAACAATTTAAAGACAAACAGGAACGATATATTTAATTCGACCCAAACTAGTCAAGAAAATTTTTATTTTATTTTCACAACGTTTCGACCATCTGTTTTTCGTCCTTTTCAAGTGAAAAATTCCTTGATAAAAGCGCAGTTAGTTAATACTGTTGTCATGATTATTAAACAATATGATTATCGGACTTTTTTAAAAACATTTGAAATAACTTTTGAAAGAAAGTAACCGCATCTTATCGTTTTAAAAAAGTCCGATAATCATATTGTTTAATAATCATGACAACAGTGTGAACTAACTGCGCTTTTATCAAGGAATTTTTCACTTGAAAAGGATCAAAAACAGATGGTCGAAACGTTGTGGAAATAAAATAAAAATTTTCTTTGGCTAGTTTGGGTCGAATTAAATATATCGTTCCTATTTTAAATACCACTATCGACGTTTTATTAAATATTCACTTTGATTAAAGACAAACGTTTGATTGTAATTTTACACCGGCAGATTTTCGAACGGTGCCGACAATCGGTGCTTGTAAACGAAGCGACCTCGTCGTCGTGCCACGGCCTCATTACGCCGAACCTCTGTTAGCCGCTGGGACGTCCGGAACGCAGATCGATCATACTCGAAGCTACACCTCGGTCAGCTTGACCCTCAGGCCGCCTTCCTCCGAGCCGCAACCCCCGATCGATATCAGGTCGGAGGGATCCAGCCTCACTTACTCGACCTCGTCCCTGGATCCGCGTGGCTTTCAGAGTCGCCTGCAGATCAGCATCGGTCCCGGAAACGTCGGTAGCGTGGCGGCAGCGAGGATAAGACCACCGATGGCCAACAGCCTGTTGTCATCGACTCAGACGAGTCCTCAGCGGCCGCCTGGTACGTTCTTCATTTCAAACTATCTAGTCCTTTAATAGTAATTTGGATGCAGTTTATAATTTATACACAAGAGAATTTTACTTAGAATTTATTTACTTATTTTTATTGTGGTAAATATTAATCAGAGAAACTCTAATAAAATTCTTCCAATATCATATTGTCCCATTATGATTTCCAGGGTAAATTCTAAGTAATTTATTATATATGTAAATTTTGATAAAAGTAGGTAAGATCTTCATCGAAGAACCTGTAACTAAAATTAATATGGAATTTTTTTGGTTTGCATCCTAGGACTTCCGCCAGGACCGCCGAGTCAGCTGCCAAGACCGACGACAACGACGATGAGCGCGCCGACTACACCCTCCGTACCACCAACAACGAATATCGTCCCAATTTGCAGTCTCCCGACTACGCCTTCCGTACCCGCGACGATTGGCATCACGTCTCCCTCCGGCGCCAGCGTCGGGGAACACACGCAGTCCGCTCCCGATCAGAACCGATCGCCATTGAGTCAAAGTAATGTCAAAGGAGATTCGCGGAACGACGACGAGCTTCCCGACTGCGACTACTTCTGCGGCTGTATAGCGTTGCAGAAGCGCGCGCACGTGTATATTTACCTGGAAGTCACTCGGTCGCACGTACTACGCCCACGCACGCAACACCGGGAACGTTATTTACGCATTCCTGACCCCACGCTCCGGGCTATACATAGCCGCACGCCGCGGTTACAGCTACGCGGACCACCTGATCGCGGTTTTTCTGACCGCGAGAGTCCGCGCGTTTCCTGGACGTCGCTACGTTAAACATTCCCGTGGCCTTCGTTCTTTTTTTTGCGATTAAGAATTATTACTTAATTATAATATTATAATATTATAATGTTGTTTACAACGCATGCAACACGTTCTTTAATTTATAACGTAGATGCGAAAACTGATGATGAAAGTGCTTTGTCTAACATATGTTATCATCGTGATCAATAAAATCGTAATAAACGACGAGGCATAATATGATAAAATTAACGAATCGCGACCGCGGCAATGTCATTACTTGCGAGAGTGTTCTCTTTCTCGCGGTGAGAGAATTAGAAAGTCGTCGTTGTTAAAGTAAGTTTCGAGGCGGTTCGGCTCGCCTTATTTATGTATGCACTTAAAATTGTTATTGGAATTTCCAGTGACGGAACACCAAAAGAAATTGATCGCGGAACAACTGGCTAGGAAGGAAAGACTCGCTAGGGAATTGAGAGCTGAGAAAGGACGACTCGAAGCGATGAAGAAAGAAGTGCAGGCTCTCACCAAACCAGTGGATCCTTTGGTGCCCCCTCAAGTATGTACAACAAAAAAAATATGATATAATTGCGCGATATGAATGCCTTTCGAGATGTGTATTTTAATACAAAATTTTTGCAGGAGTTGAAGAGACGACTGAGGAGCGAAATATATATGCTGCAGGTCGAGTGTGACAGGTTGGCCGATCAAGTGGACCAATGGTCAGACAGACTAGGTATCTATTTTTTATATTGTGTTGTTAAGTACAAGATTATAAGAAGTTTGCAAGCAAATTCAAAAATTGTTCTTTTAGTACCACTGGGCGAAACCAACGAGGAGTTTTATCAGGGCATTTATACCGGCCAACCGTTGCCGACGAGACCGCTGAATCCACAACCGCCACCCTTGCCGAGTCAACCCCCGGTATGGCGATCGGAACAGCCGACGACAATCGCAAGCGATGAACGGGACGGGCCGTCGTGGGTCTGCACTATGTGTACTTTCGACAATCATCCGCTAATGAATAAGTGCGAGGAGTGCGACATGCCGAGACTGTTGAACCCCAGCGGCAGTGCAGGTATAGTGCACGGCAATTCGTCAGGAACGACTTTGTTGTCGTCGTCCTCGTCGGCAGCGGCTCATTGTGACCGTGAACCTCCTTCAATACCACTCCAGCTACCCAGAATAGAATAGTTCGTTGCCTAACAGCATGCCGTGTGATTTGTGATATAATTTTCGCGGAAACTTGCTAATGTTATTTTGCGATTGGACGATGAAACACTAATCGATCGAACTTTGAAGTTAATGCGATAAAACATTTATATCAAACGTGATATTATTTTATCATCACCTGTATTTTTAAGAAATTTTTAACAAGTGTGCTATTATTAAACTATGTTATAAAAATTGTGTATTTAATTATGATTAATTAATCCTGTTTTTAGCATAATAAAAGAGAACAAGATGCGCGATCTTGTTTTCACTTGTTTGTTAAAGATGTGTGTGTATTTGCCGTATAATTAATTAACAATTATTTTTTACATAACTCTTTAAAGTATTAACATTGTTGATAGTGTGAGTATTTTTTAGCAAAAAATATCATTTTGACTCTTATTTAAGGTAAGGAAAGGCATTTTATGCTTTATAATTATATATATTATTTTATTGAATTTTATAGCAATGCTATAAAACGAATCTCCAATTTCAGGGGAAACGCAAGATATTCATATACGAGTAACACATCATCATAATTTTTCGCCAAGACGTAAGTATAACTCTGCTTTCGTTGAAATAAAATTAATACTTTTTGCAGACACAACATTTACACTACATGTAAAAATAATTATTTCTACATATTACTTCTCCAGGTACAGTGCACAGTTGGGTGGTATGACATGAACTGAATTAGAAATTTTTAAAGAACTGTATATATATAATTATATTTAAATTAAATAAATTGTAGGAGCTCTAAGCGATTATATTATTAATAGAACATGTGACTAATGTAATAATTTAATTTTTTATTTGCAATTAGTGTGTATATTACGCGTTATTAGTTAAATAGTTCGTTGTAAAATCTCTGTTTTCAAGTTGACACTAAGTAACTAATTGGATTTTCTGACATATTATATCTTTTTCTCTGGAAAAATTTCTAGAACATTTAGATTTTCTCAACGATACATATCAAGTGTCTATATAATAACGAAAGATATTTAACTAAATATTACACAAAATTATATTTCTCTTCAGATTCTTATTTGTATAAAAATTATCGCATAATATGTATAAATATAAAGTAATTTATAACAATTGTAGCAACATTCCGCCACATTATATAGCCGTACCCCTCTCCAAATTCAACTTTGTCTCCCGAGTATATTCGCCGTAGAATCTTTCCAATTTCTGATTGAACTTTGCATTACGTTCGTTAATATAATCGATATCCGCGTCGTCGTTATGCATTCTACGTCTGCTATACTTCTCCCTCTTTGCGATCCTATAAAGAAAGATGTGAAACATGAGCTATTGAAGATGATGCACTTTCAATCATTAAAAAATCATTAATTTTACTAACTGTTTTTCCAGATTGGTGACCATTTTGTCAATTGCTTCTTTTTTATCCTCGTGCAAGCCATGTAATATCGTATTTCGGTCTCCATAAAAGGCAGGTCCTAGCTTTTCCTTTGTTTCTTCGTATGCTTCCATATTTGGCTTGATATTCTTCACTAATCTGTTATATGATCGTATCGCTGCTTGTTCGTAATCTGAGAAACCTGGGTCCGGATTTTGTTTGCTCTTCTTCTTTCTAGCTATTCTCTCTGCTTCTGTGGCGTCAACATTCAGCAATTTCATTCGTTCGTAATCTTCACCCTGTAGAAAATACAAGTTCAGTTAAATAGGATGTTTGTGTATCTAGAAATGTGAAATGCCATCGTGATATATGCTAATATAGTACTTTAGTTTCTGCTTCTTTCCTAGCAGCTTCGTCTTGCATTATCCATTCGGCCTGTCTCTTGCGAGACTCCCAGTTGGCAGGTAGCTTGTTCCTCTTATCTTCCTCTACAACTTCCTTGTGATTCTGCATTCTGGCTTCATTCTGTTGAATCAATTTAGTCAATGAATAGATAAATTATAATAATTCTAGAATTATATCTATTATAGAATTAATATCTAGATGTAGATTAGATTGACTACATTAGACTAGCACATGGATTCATTCAATAATTTTGGAGCCAGAAATAACCGATGCAAATATAAAGAAAATATTGAGAAATATTTGACTTTTCAGCTTTAAAGCGACAAACTAATATTGATTAATTTATTTCCAAAAGATTAAATTGTAAAACCAATAAAACGTTTCTAAGGTTAGCTCTCTAAGGTTACTCGAGTGCGAACTCACCCTCTTGGAGTGAAGTTCCCTGAGTCGTTTCATCCTCTCGTCGTACTTTGCTTTCACGGAAGATGCACTCGAAGATGCGGCATTATCCATCTTCAAATACGATTTTCAAGCAAACTCGCGAACTAGCAAAATAACCGAGCAATTTGACAAGTCAACAGAGAAGCCTGAGAAGCGTCATCTATATCTGAAAAATCCAGACGCAGAAGCACGTAATCAATCCCAGCCGGTAAATCGCTGACTGTCGGTAAAATCGGTCCCTCAAATGTCATTACCACGTTTCGTCACCAGATCTCGACTCGCGAATTCCACGAAAGGAGCCATTATCGTCGAAAGCTCGGTGCTTTGCGGACGCGATAGCACACACACACACACATACAGTCCCGAGTCTACAGGTTTCCAGGCTTCCTCATCATCTGGTAGATGGATCGTACGTTCGTATACAACCCTCCTACCATATAGACGCCTCTCTTTTTATCCCTCTGGCCTTCGCGCGATTTATACCTTTCCCTCCGATCGCTTCCTCCCTCTCTCTCTCCTGCGTTCGATTCGAGACTCCACTTTCTACGGGCTTTTCGAGATTCCCGCGAGTAGGGCGCGGACGAAGGGACGGATGCAACGCGCGAGAGACACAGACAAGACAGAGACACCGTGACGCATCGACTGGAGCGAAGGCGCGCGCGTGAAACGCGACGTCGAGTCGAGGAGCTCTCTCGGCCTCGGCCACTCTCAGCTGTGCGGGAGCGAACGAGAGTGCTGTGACAAGAGAGAGAGAGGGAGCATGGAGACCCTCGAGTCGAGCTGCGTGTGCCGTCTCTGCGGTCAGCACTCCGGGATCTCTATCAACATCTTCGACGAGAGCGAGAACCACGTCAGGAAGATCAACGCCGTCCTGCCTATCATGGTACGCATCATCGTGTTATGTTGCTCCTTCTCTTTCTCTTTCCCTCTCGCGATTTCTCCCTATTGTATATATTCTTATGGAGAGGGTGTCCACGTTCTCTCGCGTGACGTAAAGCGCACCCTCGCTTTGAGAAACGCGAGAGCTCCGAGATTAATTAATTATTAGAGCCGGTTTTTTTTCGATTCCTTCCCTTTTCATAGGTCTCCGATGTGTGAAAAAGGATTTTTACGAATTATTAAGAAATAATGGATATTTTTATGGATCTTCTATCGGACACGCGGAATTGATGTTTACGAGAAGGATCATGAATTCCAGGCGGAATGGCACGCACGTGCTTTTTTTGTACGCGTCACTGATTCCAAGAACTTTTGGCGCGAAACGATAAATTCCTTGTTTGTTTCTTCTTGGAGAATGGAATTTTTGGTTTTTGTTGATTCAACTATTGAGATTTGCAAAAGTGAGGTTATCGTTAAGCTTTGCTCGCCAATGCGTTCCGAAATATCAAGAATGTGGATTTTTATTGCGTAACTTATTGAGACTCGAAGAATTTAAATTATGTATTTTTTTTTTTACATCGGCATATTACGATTTTTTGGATTTTTTCTCCATTTAATTACATTTAAAAAATGTTTGTTCTTGATATCAATTTTTTATTCTCTGCATTTGCTTTTTTTATTTTTAAACATAAAGTCAATTTATTGACTTTTTAATTTTCGAGACTTTTAATATTAAAGATTGAAATACAAAAAGTGTATATGAATATATTATATATTATATTTTTTAATATATTTCAAATATATATATATTTATACATATAAATTTATAAATATATTTTTATAAAACTATAATTTAGAATGTGTACATGTATGTAATTTAAGACACTTGTTAAATTTATGTTTAGAGGAATAAAAATATCTTGCAGTACATGGTTACAATAAACATACATAAATAACAAAGAGAATTTAATATTCTATTAAAGCGAAAATTATGATATATAAATAAATTTTCAAATTCGTTGAATTTCGGTTCAATGTATATAACTTATAAGTTGAAGACTTTTTGCATTACTTTTATACACTTTATAAGTTATAATAATTATATATCTTTCTATTCAGATTTAATAAATCATAAATCAAGAGAATTTTAAGATAAGATATCTCTGAAGTAACAGAGATTATTCACGTACATCTTATAAGCTTACATATTTGTAAAAAGAAAGATTAATCTACCTATAGATTTCATGATGATAAATATCAAATTAAATTGCTTAATCATTCTTTTTTTTATTTTTTTGTAAATTTTAAGGTGTTATAGGGCGTATACTTACATTCGTATTTTACATATTTGTCTTCAAATTTTTATTTATAGTAAATTATACATATAATTCAGGTTGAATATATATAATATAGAATAGAATTATAGAAAACGCTCATTTGTCATTGAATTAATTGAGTTGAATTAAATAACAAACTCTAAACACGTTTCACTACTCGGTTATTTTAGAGTTATTATAGTGAGCTATTAGCAAAGTGAAAATACCGCGATAATATTAATGAACGGAAGTTTCCAAGCTTGTGCAGCATGTCATTAAACGTGTTTATCATATACGCAAATTTATTACAACATGGTGACGCGCGCTCGATTATTTTTAATTTATTTTCTGAGATTCGAAAATTTTATCTTGTCCCTGTCCTGAGAATTTCATAAAGATTATGCCATTCAACAACAATCGAAAGATTCAGTGCAATGCAATAATTTTATTATTCCTTATTTTTTAGAAAGAATTTTGGAAACATAAATCGATGAAATTAAACTTACAAAGATTCATTTTTTATCAAAATTTAGTTGGATTAATTTTTTCTCAAGCTTAAAATTAATGTTTTATTTTTGGACAAATTATTATTATTTTTTGGGGGGAATAATTAATATTTTAAATTATCTTAAGATTAATAATTAATTTAACACATCTTAAGATTATTTTACATCTAATTTGTTCATAAAGTAAGCCCTATCATACACTCCTCATTATTTGCTTTGCGATGCACGAGCTAAGATAACAACCTCTGTTTTATCGTATTGAATTAATATCTTGTTTGAGAAAAAAAAGAACGAATTGGGTGTTATATACCGAAGATTGTTGAAAGCATTGATTGATTTTTTGAAACTGCTCAACTGATCACATTTTTTATTCGTAATCTTGTTTTTCAGGTGCACGAGCTGGATCTACTACCGAAGCAAATGTGCCACCGGTGCAGCTACAAGCTAGAGGAGTTCCATAAGTTCTACATAGACTGTCTGAAGACAGACGCAGCGCTCAAGAGCCAGTTGTCATGGATGCGAAAGGATCGTGGCAAGGAGAAGATCGGCGTGCCGATGGTGCACATTGAAAACGTGAAGATTAAGGCAGAGTCGCTCGATTATGACGTATACGAACTGGAACCACTGATGGAGAACATGGACTACATCAACTCGATTAATTCGATGGCACTTCCTGCCGAGGAAATTCACAATGGATTGACATATGCGGCGCTCTCGCGTTGCCGATGTTGCTGTAATAAGAAGAGCCAAAGCAGAGCCAAAAAACCTATGACGGAATTCTGTCGAAATTATAAAAAATCTAGATGCGGCCAGATCGCGGGTGACTCGCGAGAGAGGACTTTCGAGAATACTGCCCCCAGATTAAGATCGATCAAGAAGAACCTTTTTATCCAAGCGTTTCCAGATTGCCCGCAGAATCGTTTGCCGTGCGTCGACGCTATCGAGAACGCGCGAGATCGTTTGACCGCAAACACAAACGCCAAAGATGACGTATCATCCCTGAAAACGCGAAACCGTTCTTACGGTGAACTCGGTGAAGCAGTTCCCAGAAGTCAAATAGCTTCGAGAAGCACGATAGTGCGAAATTTGAGACCTAGGAAAAATCTGGTAAACTATGCGTCGAATAAGAAGAAAATGTCGATTGAAGTTGATCCAGGATCATCTCTAACGAGCAACTCGGAAATTTTGCATCTGAAAACCACGTCTGCGTCTCATTTTAAATTGACTCGACAGATCAAGGTGGGGAAAATGGATGATTTAGAAGGACGCAGTTTAAGACCAAGAAGAAACGTCGTGGATTATCAGGAACCGAAAATGAGGAAGGTATCTGATCACCGTACAAAGAGGCGCAAAGTGGAGGACCTGGAGCAGAGCTCGAAGCATTCGAGAAATGAAAATGCATCTTCATTGAATGAATTTGTTCTGAAACTTAAAATAAAGCAGGAAGTTTTGAATGACCTGGAAGACACGGTGCTCGATGAAACGACCAGCGCGATACCTCGATTACCGAATAATTCGCTCGCCGATCTACCCGCGAAGGTTGAAGCATTGACAAGCGATAATAACATCAGCTTACGAGATAACATGCCAGATTACTTCAAGCCGAGTCATCCACAATTACGAGATAAGTTCCAGCTAGCCAAGCGAAAATCATTGTCCAACCGAATGACCAGGCTGACGAGAACGAAGAAGATCTATCGATTGCCCACGGCGAATCATTCACCAAAATGCCTGAGGAGTCAGGATGCTTTCCTGAGAAATGGCAAAGCGAGGAAGAATGATTACATGGACTGGTCGGAAAAGAAGTCACCAACGAGAAAACTGATGGACGTGATCAATAAAAGCGCGAAGACGAAGCCAGCGATGATGAAGCTGGTCGAAAGCATCAAACATTATTGCGAGACGTGCAACGTCAGCTTCGAGAATAAGGAATTATTCCAACTACACAGGTGCTACTACGATTGATCTTTTCTCACGTGGCCGAATTGTCGAGAAATATAAAAGTTTACGAACTATCTAAAAATCTAAGATATTTGAAAGAGACTTTTAAATATCTTCGCAAGGTATGAAGGACTTTTCGAGATATTAAGAGGTAAAGTATCTCGATGCGGAAAAGAAAATAATTAGGAAATTCTTCATTTGTGGTTGTATAAGCATGCACATGTATTTATAAACTGCAGATTATTTTAATGACTTCTAATTTCCGGATATCTTGCTTTCGAAATGACAAACGCGCGTTTTATTTAAATCGAATATATTCTATTTGATTACAAGATTAAATTCTTGTTCGTAAACTGTACCTGTTTAAAAATTAAAAATTTTAGCAAATTAAAAAATGTTTCCCAATTGCCAGTATCTTCTATATAATTATTAACTTTTTCTTCTTTTTTGAAATCGATAAATATTAAGATTATCGATAAAAACACGTAGACAATAAATGGGAAATAATAAAGTTTTTTAATGTACATATTGTACGTTATTTAGATATTGTATTATCATCTGTATATTATTTTATCTTTACTATATCACATTTATTTTGTGAACAAGAATATATGTATATGCATACTTATACCTTGTTTGTCGACTTATGTAAATGTTAAATAATGAAAATTGTTACATACACTTAAGATTTTACGTAGGAAATTCACAAGTCGCCTTCAAAGATTAAGAAATAAATTTAAGAATATATAGATAGGTAGAAGTCTATTTTATGAAAGACAAGAGATATAAAATATATGTCGATATAAATTTCACGAGAATATGTGATATATGTATATGAAAATGACCGATTTTGTGGAAAATTCGATATACAAATAGTTTGTTAACATATATGTAATAATCGAAAAATTACTCTTTTTACACTACTTTGAAATTTTATATATTAATACGATCAATATTTTAACAATATTGAACTATTTCGAAAAAGAACATATTTTATTAAAAAAATTTTTAGAATTTTATTGAACATTCAAATTTATCAACATTATAATGTTACAATAAGTATGGATTCGTTAAGTGATTAATTATACTTTATTTCAGCATTGTTAGATCATTAAATATAAAAATTAAATAAAATTAAATTATCAAATTTTATCCACAATAATTACATTTATTTTTTAACTGCATATAAGTTCTCATCGTTGTAAAGTGCTTCTCTGAATCACCTGTCTGTTAATAACAAATAAAGAGGTAGATGTTGTTATTTCCTAAAGATATATCTTTCTCATATCATTAAATTAATAAATATTATACATCTACATAAAGTATATATATATATAATTATAATGTTTATATAAAACATCCTGATCCTATATATCATTCTTTATCTTTTCATAAAAAATACTATTTTTTTATTCATATTTTTATATATAGCATAATTAAATATGATAATTATGTTAAAACATGTAACACGACAAATTAAGTGACAGTAAAAATCTCTTTCAACGAAGAAAATAATTTTTAATCCATTAAATTTACGCTATACACGATAATGATTATAATTTATTAATATTTTGAAAAAACGCTTATATATATACACATTTTGCATAAAATGCGATTTTATTAATTTGTTATTTAATTTGTGTACAATATTCAGAGACAAATTTTTATCAAATGTAATTATATTGACGATATATATGTATATATTTTTACAAGGGAACTATTTTATTTTGTCGCGCACCTTCCCTCCCTTTTTCTCTCCCCCTTTTCATCCCCCTCATTCCACTTTATATTGCGCGAGCCGTAGCGTAGCGGCAGCCAAACGAATTACAGGTAACAAACAAACAAAAAGTGTCAGATATCAGAGTTTGAAGAAGATGACTGATTACATACAGTGTTTTGAATTAATTTCATCTGCGGCGAAACAGTGAAATGTCTTCGGATACCGGAAAATCGCCGCGAATCGAAGATGTAAGTTTTTCTTTAGTGTTACTTACATTCACAACTTTCGGGTGCTCGTTTAACCTAAATCTATCACTGCAGATAGTGCGTCGAGCGATATTTCAAAATCTTTTTCATTAGATGAATAAGGATAGGCATTTTATGCTTTGGGCATAATAGCATGTTCCAAAAATTGTTTTTAAACATTAATTTTAATAGTTATGCATAGTATACACTTAATATTATATTAAATTAAACACTTAATATTAAACAATTATATTAAACAATTTTTGACACATGCTATTATGCTCAAAATACATAAAGTGCCTATCCCTATAGGTAAAATAAACGGGTGAATATTCATATGTTGTATTCTCTTTTTTTAGTTGATCTCCTCAGAAGATGATACTTTGGGATCCTCCGTAAGTCTGAGTGTTGGGGAGAATTCCGTGCGTATTAAGAAGAAAAGCAAATCTACCAAAGAAACTGAACAATTATTGGCTGATAAGAGAGATGTGCAAGATAAGTGGTGGTTGAAGAGACCTGAAACACGTCTAGATGTTTTAAGTGCCAAGAATACAGATGCAAAGGTGAAACAGTCTCCTACCCCTATGTCGGATGTCAGCTCTTCTATGAAAGAGTTTCTTGAGAAGGAAAAAATGTGCAAAGTAATTGATTTAGTCATGTAATATTGCGATAAGATATTTTTTATAATTCAATTTAGAATAGGGGGTTGCGAATATTTTTATTTGCTATTGTTTCTAACATTACTTTACATGTGTTTTATAGACAGTGTCAAAGAGCGAAGGAGAACTGAAAGACAAAGATGATACTTTATGCGATATACTTGCATCTGTAGCTTTTGATAAATATCCATCAGATTTCGAAAGTAAATTTTTATATAACATATAAAATTAAACCATTTTTTTATACAAATCACAATGTTTGTATTTAATTTATGTACTTATATTTATTATAGATGCTACTGATGAAGATATTGGTAGTATATTAGAAGAAATGAGCAAGATTGCTGGAGCATTAAGTCCTAATTCAGGCCCTGAACGTACCAAATCTGGCGATTCCAGTAAAAATCCTACCGAAGAAGAGAAGTCGGTAGAGGAATTATTAGAGGAAGCTGAGAAATTAGTGAGGAAAAACAGTAATACTTTGTCAAAAAGTATATCCAAATCTGATACTCTAGTACCGGAAATTAATGAAGATGAAAGCCTAAGTAGAGTAAGACAATTAGAAGCTGATATTTTTCAATTAATAGAAAATGAAGTTCATAAAGAAACAGAAAAGATAAAGAGAAGTCCGAAAAATGAGAAAAAACGGGAAAACAGTCCCGGAATCGAAATCGTTTACGAAAGCTTAAGTAATTTGAGACCACCGAAGACATTGGAACTTCAAAGAAGAAAATTTGAGGAACAGAAAGTCGAAATATCAAGCAGTTCAGATTTAGATGATCCGATTGAAAGACATTCCAAGTCCGAGGAATTAAAGAGCACAAAGAAAATGGAGATGGAGAAGGAGAATCTGCAGAAGGAAATCACGGACGTGGACAAGAATTTTTTCGAAGATTTGTTGAGAAAATCCAAGGAAAAGGCGGAAGGCGGGATATCTGGAAGCTCTAGTTTTGGACAGGAAGATTTCTCACACTTCTTAAAGTTGCTTCAAGGACAAAACATGGACAAAAACGAGCTAGAATCAAAAGAGTCTAATGTAGTTTACGATCTTTTTTTGAAATCTACCAATGGCGAACTATCAACTGTAGAGAATCAATTAGTTAATGGCAAAACCCCGGAGTTTCCGGAAAAAGAATTTTCTGAGATATTAGAAAAGGAATTATCAGGCTCTAACAATGCAAACGTTGAACATGAAATTAATGAAAGTGATTCTAGTGTTAGCGAAAGACAACGAGCACCTAAAAAACGAACACCTAATTCTCCATCAATTGCAGCAACACTTTTGCAAAGTTCTAAAAAAGAATCTAAAAAATCTGTATCAAAAGACATAGAAAGAGAAAGCAATAAAATTGTAACAGAAGGCAATAAAAAGTTGGCTAATTCTGAAAGTGAATTATATACAGTAGGGTTGACACCAAGATTAGAATTATTTGCGGATGCAATACCCAAACTTATGGCTGAAAAATTAAATGAAAATGTGAAAGAGAATACGGAAAAGGTAGATTTGGCACATAAAGAATCCATAGAAGTGAAGATTGAGACAAAAGTGGAAAGTTTGCATGTCGCTAAAGCATCCAAAACTTCTAGGATTGATCATCAAGAAGCATCTGGTAGTGTTTCGAAAAAAGCAATAGATCCCTCTAAAACCGATCGTGTGGTTAGTGCACCGAGCAATAAACAATTAAAAAAAGAAATAAGATTTTGTAAGTCCAAGAGCTACGATCAAATATGTCAGCCTCCTCTAAGAACATCTCTTGAAAATATCAGAATTAACAAAGCATCGGATGTATCTAAGAAATCTGCGAACTCAGTCGTAAGAAAATCATCAGTGATAAAACCAAAAGTGCAATCCCGATCAATTTCCAAAACTATAACGAAACCTAATGCATTTCTAAAACCAAAAATAGATTCCGCTAAAGCTGGATCCACATCTAATTTACCAGCTGCGTGCAAAGGATCTCAATTGAAATCGCCCGACAGTTACAGAAAAAATTTGATGGCTGCCGGAGATTCGAAGCAGATTACAATGAAACGTGATTGGGAGATGTTATGTCGCGAAGAGAGGCATAAGAATTCTCTTCTAAAGCAACAATTGGAAGCCGAGGCGAAGCTGTACAAAAGTCAAATCGAAGAGATGCGTGTGTCCTTCGAGGGTGAACTGTTTGCCTTGAAGAAACAGAATATAATTTTGAAAGCGAGAGTCGACGAACTTTCTCTAAACGAAAGGCTCCAGCCTGAAGTTCCAGCTAAGAACGATACAAAGATCGTTCTGCTAGAACAAGAATTAGAAAAGCAGGAGAACCTAATCCGCGCTTACGAGACCGAAAACAAGAAATTGATGCAAGACACGAAACGTATGCAAGAGGAGTTGAAGAGTTTGCAGTCTAAGCAGAAGATCACGGTAGCAGAGGCGAACGATATGCAACAGCTCACAGATCGGGTGAAGGATCTTCAGGAAGAGACATTGAAGCTGAATCTCGAGGTGTCTGAATTGAGAGAGAAAAATAGCGATTGCCTGCTCAAAAATGACGATTTGATTCAACAGAACAGTTTACTCGCGGACGAACTGGAGATGTTCAAGGAGCAGCTGAGAGCTAAGAACAACTTTATCACGGATCGACTGCAAGTGATGACCACCGCGGAGTTAGAACTGAAGAAACAAATAGAAGATATGAGTATCAAATTGAGCTCAAAGTCGGAACAGCTGCGAGTGACGAAGCAGGAATTGGAGAAGTTTCAGCGAGATGTATTGCCTTTGGAAAAGGAACTGTTAGAGCTCAGAGTTAAAGAGGGACATTTGCATGAAAAATTGCAAATAAGCAAGAGTCATACCGAGCGCGAGAAGCAGCTGACCCAGAAGCTCAAAGATCAAGTTATTCTGGACAATAAGAAAATCATAGATCTGAATAGGCAAGTGCGCGAGTTGGAGCGTATACTTAAACGGAAGAATCCCGATTCGGTCTCGGCTCTCATACTCACCGCCAATTCGGAGCAGGAGAAGATTGGTTCCGAGAAAGTAAAACTCCTCGAGGAAAGAATAGTGAGTCTCGAGAACGAGATTAAAGCCAAGGAGGATATCGCGCAACAAAATTTAGTTGACCTGCAAAAGAAGTTCTCCGATATGAAGGAGAAGTACGCGGCTCAGATAATGGAATTGGAGGGAAAACTATTGGAAGCTACTACAAAGGAGCACAAATTGTACAACGATATGTTTACCCAGACGATCAGGCATATTGAGAGCAAGAATATGGAGACTAACAAGAGAGACGATAAAGCTTCAGCGATGGAAGAAAAGAAGGATCAAAAAGCAATGAAGGTTGGACCGAAGTCTCAAAATCCGAAAGAGGACACGCATCTTATCGCTACTATAAGAGGCTTGAAACTGGAAATCACGAACAAAGATAAAGCAATCTCGAAGATAACTAAGGAGTATCAGGAATTACAGAAGACAAACCGGAGATTGCAGAAGGAACGGGAGAAATTGTTGAATGATCGAAGGAGCTTTAGAAGTATGGATTTTGAGAGGGCGTTCCGAGGACTGAAGAACGGCGAAGGAAACGATCAGAATTCAAATGTCTATCAGAACGGACACGTTTCCGACTCGCAAAGACTGTCACAGTCGACACCAAAGTTATATGATCCGATGCAGTACACGGAGAACGGCAAAAATGGAGTTATCAAGAAATTAACTAACGAAAACGACATTTTGAAAGAAGAGCTGAGTAAAATGAACAAGGACTTCATGGCTTTAAAGAGCAAGAGGTTGCACGATTTGAATCTCTTGCAGGAGGAACACGAACGAGAAATTGCTACTCTTGTGAAGGAGTACAGTGTCAAATTCGGAGACTCTAAAGTGGTAAAGTTACAGGTTTGTAATGCTTAGCAAGCACTTGGCTTTTTTGTATTTTATTTGTTCTTTTATTATCTAATCGCACAAAATTTAGAGTAGATCTTTGCTTGTGTAGAAGAAACACTTTGCTTCGCTCATTTTATTCATTTATCATGGCACTGAAAATTTTACTATGTCATACTTTTTATTTGTCAGGGTCAGATTAATACTCAGGGGGCGATCATATCACACTTAAAAGAGCAGATCGAAAAGTTTCAAGACTACAAGGAGCAGGTAGTCGTGCTGAAGGCCGAAAGAGAGCATCTAGAGAATAAAGTGAAAACACTGACCGAGAAAATCAAGTACTTATCAACGCCGGTATGTGAAATATTTAATCAATTTTTAATCAAATATTTAGTAAACCGTACTTTTAATCTTAAAAATGGGTCTCAAAACATGATGTTTTTATTTCAGGGAACGGAACAATTGCAGTTGCTGCAGGATAAGATTACGATTCTCCAGCAACGGCACGAGAGTAGAGAAATGACCTTGCAAACGTTAATTCGCGACTTATTGAGGAACCGAACGCATTGCAAGGATTGTAAGAATGAGAAGGGCAAGAATCGTCAGCTTTGCTACTTTCGGCAGGAACTCGATCATATTTTAGGGATGCTACAAGAGATCGCTAACGTCCATTGATATCGCTGAATCGAGAAATTGTCTTTATCATCGTACAATGTCTTTATTATCGTACAAAATCGGACGGTTCTCGATTCGTAATCGAATATTGTGATAATTTTTACAGAAGTAAGACTTGCGATGTAATTTTAAATAATTCTCGAGAAAGGCATTAGATATATAGATATCAATATAGGTGCGTAAACGCGTTTATCCGCGTTATATTTAGCCAAAATATTTAGTCGATCCTTCCGTCGATTCTTCCAGAATTTTAATGTGAGGATTATTAATGTTATTAATGCGCAGTCTTCTTTCTCGCATCCATGATACACCGTTCGTTCTGCGAATTCGTGCCTATCAGCGTGAGATTCACGCGTTATTCGATAGGCTCGGATCACTGCCAAATAAAGGAACATTATTGTGAAGTAATAGTCCAATAGTCCAACGACGAACGAATATACTGTATTACTTTTCAGATTTCTATATTCGTCGATTCTCTTGCTGCGCGTGTAATATCTTGAAATATTGTCTGCTTTATTAGCATAATTAATTTTTATTGAATTAAAAATTAATTTTTAGAATAATTTTTAGAATAATGTAAGATATAAGTCATTGTAAGTCATCACATTCTTAAAGAATTAAGTCATATTTTTTACTTATTTATTTATTTATTGATTTTCGAAAAAAATACACAGCTGTTTGTACAACAATGTACAATTGCTTCTAATAACTTCTTTTTCCATCGATCTCGCTGTAGTTTATTTCTTATAACGAATTATATGATATGATATAATTCAAGAGAGAGAAGAGAAAAGAAAGTAAGCAAAAAAATGAAGAACTTATTACGTATATGACTTTCTATTTTTGCGTAGAGTGTATACTGTCTCCTTTTTCTTTTGTTTGTATTTTCGTTCGATTGATCTGTATCGATGGTTTCGTTTCTAATATAATATCATTTTCGCGTTTGATTTCAGGTTCTCCGTCCTCTGTTTTTCAATTGACTTTTTGAACACATGATCTTAAACTGTGCCCATGTCGCTTCTTCATCGATGCTTTAATAAGGCGTTCGTTGTAATTTGGATCAATCGAACAATTTATCATAAATTTTGCATTCGTGATTTGCTAATTATCTTGCGGCAACTGCAGTATCTACACACTTTTTCTCTCTGATTTCATATGCGAATTCTTTTTTTGTTCTTACGTCCTCGACATTTTCTTTAGATCATATATTTTTTCGTCACATGCTACGATTTCTTATTGTCGTTTTTATAAAAAATAAGTGGAATTTGTCCATTATTTTAATTACTTTCTGTTGTGATTCTTTTGTTTTTTCCCTATTCCGCGTATTCTTTTCCATCACTATTTTCTGTTTTTTCTTGGATTTCCCGGAGTTGCTTCGTTAAAAGTAAGTATATGTGCGAAGGCATTCGAGGTCTTAAAAGGAACACTGCCTCGTTTAAGAAATGTGAGCCTGAAACTCAAATTAAAAGATAGAAAGTTGGACATAAACGTTACGACGACAATTATTTTGCACTTTTAGGATAAAGATCCTAAATATCTGTCCTTTTAGGGCACTTTTACGATTAGGTTTTTGGTGTTTCAGGCATGATCTCGAATTGTCCCTGTGTCTTCTTCATTGGTTTGCTTTATTGAAGTATAACGAGAATGAATTAAATATAAAATAATTTATAACTAGAGACCATAACAGAATAATTAATAAAATAATAAGGAAGGAAAGGGAATTAAAAAATGAGAGTAGTGAGTTTAACTACGCGACTCTAATACTATTTATTTTCGGACAAAATATATCTTCTTAAAGATACATATATGACATTTTTGCGGAATACATACACACTGTACATTAATATACATTAATATCTTGAGTAAATTTGGAAACATCACATTGCAAGAAAAGATTTTCATTAATGCAATAATAAAATCGACACACAGAAGCAGGTTCAGAGAGCGGTTATTAGTGCCATTTTGGGAATCAACTATTTTTTCCTTTTATCCAACTATAAAACGTTGCATCTGCTGTACCATGTTGTTGCTGAAAGAATAATATATATTTTAAAATATATCGATAATTTTTTAAATATATATATTTTTTTTTTTTTTTTATATCATTACTTATTATTTTATTATTATTATGTGTTTTTTCGTGTTATCGTCGTTTTATATTTATTTTAATAATTATTCTGTTGTAATCTCTAATTATAAATGATTTTATATTATTATATATATCATTCTCGCTATATGTATTAAAGTATTTTATAATAATTTCATATAATCTGATATAATATATGTAGAATAATTTTGTATTTGTAATAAATCTGTAATATGCAATTATAATATATTTTAAAATCTTATAAACAATTTATAATTATAGTATATCTTACCCAAAAGTTTTTTTGCCATTATAGATAGAAAGCCCGTAAACCGTACAAAGTGCCAGGACGAAAGCTTGTCTCATAAAGTCATACGTTGTAGGATATTTGAAAACTTCATAGTTCATTGATTCGGGAATGATTTTCGCTTGCATTTTCTCGATGCTTGTGTCATGCGAATTCCTTTCCCATTTTGTTGAAAATCGATTATTAAATGCGATCCTTTCCACCCTCTCAACAGATAATGTTCGTCGTTCGCGATTTTCTTCAGGAACATGAGAAGCTCTAACAACTCGAGAACGAAGAGAAGCGAATCGCGATGAGTCCTTAACATTCAAATTCGATGATCTGCGACGCAATTGTCTAATAGAATCTCTTTCAGAAGACTCGACAAGTCGATTCTCGACTGATCGAGCTACCCGACGCTGCTCCAGATTTCTGATCTGTCGATCGCGTCGGGTATCCGACCTCTCTTCCGATGTACGAAGATTTCTGTTTTCGTAAACTGATCTATTCGCTCTGCGATCCATTACTCGCATCGAGATTGCGTTGCGTAGGTCAGAGTTACGCTCCACACGTCGATTTTGCATCCTGGATCCTTCGCGTGATCTCGAGCTGTCGTCGATCCTTCGCTCGATCGATTTTCGCGAGTTAGCGGCAGATCGTTCCTCCAGATCCCTTCGGTGAGAAATTCGCAGTTCTGCGGCTCGTCGATCTAGACGTCTGTCTGCCATCCTAGATACTTCGCGCGATCTCGCGTTCTCATCGATTTTCCGCTCGGACGATCTTCGGGAATCGAGACGCGTCGTATCTGGATTACTTCGTCGTTCTAAGACTCGATTTTCCGAAACTCTCCTGGACGCTCGTCGTTCAATTTGTTCGCGAGATTGCTGCGGGACAGTTCTTCGTTCGTCGCGAGATCGGTATACGCGATTCATCCTTTCACGTCGCTCTGTTGAAGAATCTTGCGACCTTCGATCTCTAGACTCTCTGAATTGTGCGAGTTCCCGACGATACATCGAATTACGATCGAAGGAACGGGAAGAGCGAATGTGTCTTTCACTTCGTTCCCGATTCGAGATGTCTTCGAAATCATAAAGCGATCGTGCTGGAATAGTCCTAGAATTTTCTCTCGCAGCGCGCGAATCACGTTGACTTACGATTCTTTGCGAACGATTTATCCTCTCTCGACGTACGTCCTCGGACGAAACTCGCGACCTCATACGGTCTAGAGATCTTCGATCAGTAAGGCGATTCTCCACTCTTTGGTGCTCGACACGATTCCTTTCCATAGATCGAGTCAAAGATCTACGTTCAGAGGATAATCTGCGTTCGTTAGACCTTTCAATATTTGACTCAACCGATCTGACTCGCCTGTTAAGTATCTCGCGGTCGAAATCATTGACACGTTCCATAGATCGAGATTGCAATCGACGATCATTGGATCTGACAAGATCTCGGCGAGAATTCCTAGCAACGCGATCGAGGAGAGCGCGGCGAGTGTCGAGTGATCTCTCTCGATTTCGACGATTCAGATTGTTGTTACGATCGATGTTTCCTCGTGCGATATTTTCCGAATGAGCCCTCAGGAGACTTTCGCGATTTTCGCGACGACTCGATCGTTCCGCATCTCGACGTTCGACAGATCGCGATCCGCGTTCGCGTATCTCAGATCGATAATCTATGCGAGTTCGCGTCAGATCTCGGTAATCGCGACGACTAGCTAGAACATTGCGCGATTGTTGCCGATTGATCTCACTCGGTCCTCGTCGTTCCATCGAGAGTGACCTGCGATCGCTCGTACGAAGCTGAAGATTCGAAGAATCTCGTCGATCCGCCGAGCGATCGACGCGATTTTGCCGATGCGCGATTCTATCGAACTCGCGTCGCTCACGTACGGATCGGGAATTCGTACGATCGGCCACACGGCGCTCGAAATCTCGCACAGTAGAACGGCGATCGGTTGCTCGAACGGATAAATCCTGCGATCGAGAAAGCCGAGTGGCGGAATCGAACGAGTTTCTGGCGTCCGTGATTCTCTTAAATCGGGATTCTCGAAATCGGTTGATAGATTCGTTGTCAGATGTACGAGTCCTGGATCTTGAAAGTCTCCCGATCGCCCTTAGATTTCTGGATGTTGGTTCTTCAATCTTCTGCGAATCGATTCTAGACTTGAAGCGATCAAGACTTAGCGATCGAGAGATTCTTCGAGATGTAGGTGACTTGGATACTTTAATTTCATTATCGTTGATCGGTTTGGTAATTTTCTCCGGCTCAGTAATCAGATGTGCAGGCATTTTGGCGAAAGGATGTAAGTTTGGACAGGCGTCCACCCTAGAAATGATAGATAATTTTTATTTTTGAGACCGAAATGTTCTTCCTTATCTTTAAGAGATACTATAGTAATAATATTAAAAGAATAGAAATTAATATATAAAATAATAATAAATATCTATATTTCTTTTTTTAAAGATATTATATAAGATATTTAAGTTTAGTTGAAAGGTTTAATCAAGTTAACAAAGTTTTTTTCAGTGTATTAATGTAAAATTAAAAATATTTTTTTATAAATATATATGAAAAAATATTGATTTAGTTCATACTCATGGGGAGCTTGATGCGTGAGTTCGGGTCCTGCGAGACTACCGGAATGTCCCTCCCTATCTCTGGATACTAATCCTAAAGTCAGACACGCGAGCGATACTATTAAGAGTCCGATGTATTGCCACGATCGTACGGGCAAAACAACGTGACGTGTACGTCGCATCCTGTTGCAAAATTTCCAAATTCGTTATCTGTAATGAAATAATTTATATATGTAATTTTGTTTGTCTGCAATAAGTTTCCGCGTGTGAAAATTGCGAAAATAATAATGTACACAAAATTGCCTTACAATTTTGAAAATAAAATATTTTTTTAGATGAAAAAAGTGTTATTCTATCTTTTCATTTTCTTTTATAAAAAATTTTTGCTTCGAAATTTGAAGTAAAGTATTTCGTATTAAGTTTCACGCGATTTTAGAATATTTCAGAAAGCCTCGACGTTGATAAGTCATACCTGAGAAATTCAAGACTGCCGTGATCAAGTTCGCTGTAGGTATTCCTGAAGGGCTTTGAAGAGCTCTTCACGTTTTCGCGAGATGCTCTTCCTCGGAGCTCTGGAAAACTGCTGATGCTGATCGCCCCGAGGGAGTGGTTTTTATACCATACGAGACCCACGACGTAATTCGATAGAAATGCAATTCATCGCTTATCAACAGCGACCACATGGTGCCCCATATACTTGCGCGACAAGATTCCCATGAACAAAGCACGAATGGGCAATGTTGCGAGCGGAAAGATTGGAAAACCGCAATACGTTTGGATTAACCAACCGGAAAATTGCGAATCAGGATGACGGTCGATCGTGGGTGTCCTTTAAAACTCATTGAAACTTCATTCTGAAGGATTTGAATCGCTTTCAAATTGTTTGATCAAAATCCACTTGAAATTAAAATATCTCTAATATACTTAATGATGTCATAATAATTACTGTGGCTATCTAGGTAGAAGATATTTAATATCTCCACATTTATATCAAATTATATTTTTTTATTTTTTGAGTTTTAATGATTAGCGCGATAATTAACTTTTTTTTATAATTCTGCAGACATAGAAGATATAGATTGTTTATTCATTAAAATATTTGTTTTAAACGGTGGATTAGTCTAGCAAAATTCTACTGCATTGTATATTATATTCTTTTGTGAAAAAATGGAAATTGAAAAAAAAGAATATTTCTAGGGTATCAACAGAAATATATATTGTACAACGTTTACAAACACATTTATTTTTATACAAAACTCTCATTACAAAATGGGAAGATTGTGTATGTCTTATATATAAATACGCATTATTAATATATATTTACACATTATATTATATTATATATTTCTACATTTATATACCTATATATATATTCATAATGTGCGCTAGCTCGATAAAAATTTTTGAAAACTTCTGTTCGTTTACGAAAGAAAGTGAGCAGCAACATAATATTTTAGGAACTTCCCGATCTGTTTCAAGGACTCGAAAACCGTTCGAGGAAATCACTCGTGCAAGGTAAGATCGCTTAAATTAATAAATTAAACAGGTTTATTTCGTAAATTCGGACATGTACAAGAAACGTAACATAAAAAAATAATTCGCATCATAATCGCGTAATCTATAGTGAAACTCGCATTCGTCCTGTAACACTTATCATTAACTATAGTTGACTTTATTTGCTCGAGTGTCTTACAACATAACAATCGATACGATGATGATAGTGACCAGATTTATCACGGAGATATAAAAAATTCCAGAAGAACCAGACGTGTTCCTAAATTCGGTACAAGTTGTGTCGTTTATTTCCGGTAATGCCGTGTAATTTGGGAAGGTCTGAATATCTGTCGGCTGAAACAGAAATGAAAAAATTATAAAAAATATATAACAATAGCAATAAAAAATTATATATATGCAAAATTATAAAAATTGTGAGTTTAATAACTCTTTCTGGTATATATACATATTAGAAAAACATATATTATATAATAATATTACTATACGTATAAGAATATATACATATTCTTAGCTATACGTAAATACAATTTTAAATTTTGATTAGAAGTGTTTTAATTGCATTGAGAGATTTTACCAATGCCAATTGGTCGTCTCTTTTTCTGCAGAATGTCATATGTCTGCCGTGATAAAGACTATTTTCTATCGATCTTGCTAGCAATTCTTCCGTCCATGGCAAAGCCAGCATATGTTCAGCCATAGTGCGACCTGGAAATTCATCCAAGAAAACCATTGTTAGAAATATTTTCTAGAATTACGTTTTACATACAATATTTTTATTTATTTATATTTTTGTTCTTTATTTTTTTATTATATATGATATTTACCTCGGAATTCTGCGGGCTCCTCGATAATGAGTCGCGAGAAGACGTCCTCGCTTTCTTTCGTGTGATCTTTCATCGCTCTTAACGCGGACTCAGCTTCTTTAACAAGAGCCTTATCGATATTGTCTGCTGGTCTCCCGAACGGAGAAGCGGCAAGCTGTTGTTCATAAGTCGAAGGCAGAGTCAAGTCGGTTCTGAAAAAGAAATACTAAGTTTAAGCCAAAGTGATAAGATTAATTAATTTTCGATCAAAATAATACTCCATGCATATACAATAAAATTCCAATTTTAAATCTACCTTAATTAATATTGAAAAAATATGTTTTAAATATAATTCTTTTCAATAAACAATTCAATTAAATTAAAAGATTTTTCTTGACAGAAGAATTAATAACGATTTATTAAATTATGATGTGGTCTAATAATACTATGCGAGATAACTCACCCATTCATGAGGAATAGCTTCTCCAAGTAATCCATCGTCATCCCCCTGAAGCTGTGCACGCCGAGGGTCCTGAAGAGATCCTTGACAGGTGTCACGCTATAGCAACCAGCGAGTGATGTCCTGGGATAATGTAGAACGAAGGCCAGACACATTTCCTGGGTAGCCGCATAGCCGCCTAAAGTCGGTTTCGTTCTATTCAAAGTGCCATAAACGCATTCAGCGACGAGCTCGTCCCCACGTAACACCTTCACTTCCTTCTCCAACGTATGAGACTGTTGATAGTCGAAGTCGAAGTGATTGTCCTGGACTATCGTCGGCAATTCTTTACCTCGTCGAATGTGCTTCAAGCTGAGACGACGTCCGGCTAAATGTGAATGCAGGACAACCGACACGATATTGATACCATCCTCGGGGAACGTCTGGAAAAGAAATTTAAATTAACTCTTTTAGTTTCATATATTCTTTACTTTATTATTTTGTTCACGTTATCACGTTATTAATTTTAAATTTAAATGTTTATTTTAACAAAAAATATTCTTATGAAAATATAATTTATATTCTTATAAAAAATATGAAATACTGCTTTCAATTTCCATTTTTCCAACATTACCTTATTGGTGCAATGCGGAGTGCAGTATCCGGCGGTAGCATATTCCTTTTGCTTCGGGGGTACTAAATGAAGAGGGCTAACTGCGACACCGGCCACGAGGATGCCTGCTTCCTGAGGACGAAGTTTCGGAGTCAAGTAGAGTCTTACGCCGCTGCTGTCTTTTACTTTCTTCATGCTCGGGTTATTATAGTGGACTTCCAGCATGTAATACGAGCTCTCGCCGTGTTCCGCTACAGGTATACCGACGTGTTCCGGCATCCACTCCCTGTGGAATATTTTACTTTTATTAAACTACTTATTGAACAAAATTGTTAAGCAATATAATTTGTCGCTCGAAAGCTTCTTCTCTCGATTTCTCTTTGACGCGGGTAAGATTGCAGAGTAAATAACAGCTTCGCCAACATTTTGAACGTATTTTGGCGGAGAATTTTGTGCAAATTCTCTCGTCGAGGGGGACAGAGACTCGATCGTGGCTTCAACATACTTTGTCTTCACTTTGTAGATAATTTACCTTTACTACCACGAGCCCAAGCGAGGACGGGTTGTAGACACGATTCCCATACTCGTGGCATCGTCGGACTGTAGCAAGGGGCACCCGACATCCTGGCATGCTCGCCGAGGATCGACGACGTCGATGCGCACTCGTACAGGATCACGTGATGGACCAGATCCTCGTTGGCCTTCTCCACGAGCGGCGTGTACTGAAATTATAAACGCGATGAGTTCAATATTTCACATCTCATTTTTCAAATTTACATGAAAGAACTTTCGATCGAAAATATATATTTTAGCTTGATTCGAGCAAAGTTTCACAGTGGGAAGCTTGGGAACAGTCGCAAGATCGCATTGACAGTCGGCGAACGTTCCGGTACACGCAGTGACATCATTCCGGGTCTTTGCTTTATTCTAATGACGTCCACGTCGTGCGACGTCCGGCATGAATGATCGTGATTCGTGAAGCACATACGAATCAGGCCCAACCTTTTGCATTCCCGGGACTTATTCTTTCCTCGAGAGATTCGCGTCTACTTGAGAAACCTGTAGCGAAAATTTGCATCGCCGTGTACTGACTTACCCCTATCATGTGATGTTTTTCTCTCAGCGAGGAGGCCTTGAAGATCTTGCACCAGTAGATGGTGTCCGTGTCGACCACCTCAAACTGTCAAAACGATGATGGTATTAAAATTACAATTCATTAATACGCGCATAGAATTAAGAAAATCGTCGAAACAGATTAATCATTTCTCTTCATTTATTCCTTGGCATTAACTTCGTCAGAATTGATATTATTTTTTATAACGTTAAAATAGTAAGTGAAACCTTTATATTTTTGTTAGCTATAAATAAAGATGAAAATGAGGGTGAAGAATTGTGTATCTCATTACTTTACCTGGTTAAGTTTCACGTCCCAGTGTCGTATATTTCGAGTTTCTCGCGGTGGCGAATGTGCCGCAGCTGTCTTCAGCCTTAGGGCCTTTCCTCCTCGTCTATTCTCGTGCCACATAGCCGTGTTTAATTCTGGATCGGTTGGATGTAGAGCCCACAGTACTCTGACGGTGTCCTCCTGGAATTATACGAACGAACTTCGCTGTTTAAACCGGCAACGATAATATTCATATTAAAATTTAAGATATTAACGATTGGAAAAATTGGATATTTTATTTTGGAAAAAATCTCTATCGCGACAAATAATATTCCAAACGCGGATTACATAGCATGCAATTAGAAGCGGATCGCATTAATCGCCAGAGGGTTGTGCTACGATGAGGGAAGGGAGGTTGGAGGGACAGACGGCATGTTAAATGCCCAAATACCGCCGCGGGAATTCGAAGCAGCGGGGCCTCGGGGTCTCTTAAAAGCTGCGGGGCCCCTGCTTCCCGGGCATAAATCGAAAGAGGGTCCTCCGCGAATTCTACGGAGTCGCGACGGTTGTATAGTAAATCTTCCTTTCGCTTTCTCTTTCTCTCTCGTTTCCTCGGACCCTTTCCTCGAGGATCCCGTTCGAACCGGTACGAACCGCAGTGAGATATGCGCGCAGCAGAACTTGCTTTCTTTGCACGCGTTTTAATTACAGAGTAGCAGATTAGAGGTCGGAAGGTAATTTGGCGTTTGCGAGGCGCGATAAATTTCCGGCCCTCGCTGCGTTAATGCACGCTTGCGAATCATCCTGGCATCCGAATGACTCCTTTCAATTATGTGTAATATTTGAAGTCCCTCCCGGGGAGATTCGGAATCTATAAGATTTATTTTTAATCCAAAGTATGTCTCTCACATTCTCGTGGCAGAGATTTTAATTTTATAAGCGGCTGTTTGTCATTCATAATGTTCACCGTCTACAATATTTTGTGTTGAATTTTTAATTTACAGCAATTATTCGAAGAGGAATATATAATATTGTGTTCATCATCAAGTTAGATATTAACGACTTGTTCTTTTTGTTAATTAATGGAGATATTAATTTTTTAAGGTAGAGCGGGAGACATTTTATAACATTTGAAGAATGAATAATTACTTATATTTAATTATATAACAGAAATGTTAATATGTAATTCATTATTTTATATTTTAATCTTGAGACTTACTGTGAGCCGATGATCCTGAGGGTCGCACGTCTGCCACTTCCTGGCGAACGTGACAGTGGTATGGGTCTCGTTTTGCGAACCACCGAGTACCCTGACATCCTGGGACGTGTCAGTAACCGGTGCGGCCTTCATCTCGATACCATGTGAGTCCTGGAACACGAAGAAGAGAGACGTTAGAATTATCGTCAGGAGGTTCAACGTACCCGTCGAAATAAGATGCCGCGGGCCCCAAAACTCGCTCCTTGTACCTTGGATGAGAAATCGAGAGTTTTATCGGGTCAGGTGAGTGCCAGATGTTTGTATTCGCGGCGAATTGGGACTAGGGACTCCTGTCCGACGCAATTTGTTTCTTCGGCCTTACCTACTTTCTCTTTTACTTTGCTTAAGTAAAGTACGACGAATGTGTCATTTTTTTATATGTCACGCCGCGGTTTTCATTCATGTTTTAAGGTCGAGCAGCCTGAATGACGTATGGTTTGTCACAACAGAGAAAGGATGTTTCATCCATACCTCCGAATGAATCACACTTATGGGTTATTTAATTAATTTGGAATTCATATTTTATTAATTAATTAATTAATTTAGAATTATTATGCCCTTAATAAAAATGTTAAATTAAAAATATACAAAGAATTAAGTAACTTGAATTCCAAAAGGATAGAATATTTTTTATCCTTATTCAAAAGTTTAAAATATTTGCAAGAAAAAAATAATTTTACCAAAATCTTTTCTACAAAAAAAAATTGATTAAGAATTTATCAAAAACTCTGCGGAATTATGTGACAAATCCGGTCCACACCTTGCATGTACGCGGTTGCGATTTTATGAAGAGATGTCTAAAATCACGGGCCAATATTTCAGTGCCCGGCGAGAAGGCGGCAAGACTTTGAAAAGAAAAGAAGGAAGCGAGATTCCCCCAGCTGTTATGGTAGCGCACGCGAATAAGGGAGGCAGGCCGCAGGCGTTTAGGTCCGTTGGGCCCCGGTTACGGTGGGTCGCACCCTGACGTGCGCGGAGCGAGAGCGGCGAAACCCTGAAAGGGAAGTCTCCTTCCTGCTCGTAATGAATCCAAATAATTGCCGCGGCGTCGTCATGCCTGGTGGAGTACTACGTGTCTCGTAACGAGCACGTGTAGAAAGGAAATAGTAATAAGTGCGTCTCGCGAAACGTTGCGAGGAGCCGGCGGAAATGTGAATAAGGAAAGATACGAAAGAGGGATGAGGGCGGGAGGGAGATGCTCTCATCACCATTAAAATGATCTGCAAAGTATTTGTATCTCTGCGCATTTTGTACTTTAAAATTATATATTTTCGTCTCGCTGTGATTATTGTGCTATCATGGCCGTCTGCAGAAGGCGGTAAGAGGGAGCATTTGCTCTCCTTTTGAAAGAAATACTGAAATTTATTTATGTATTTAAAAATGAAAATATAACAAATTAACAAAAAAATTAAATTAAAAAAATTAAGCATAAACAAAAAATTGAAAACTAAAAAATTAATTATGCTCCCTCCTGGAAAAAATCCTGCAGACGTCCATGGTATTGCTGACATTTTATACGCTGTATTTTCATCACTTTAACGAAAACTGTACACTGAAAAAAAATTATAAAATTAATAAATATTTATTTCAATATTTGCCTAATAAATCATTTATTTAAAACAAACAAATGTCTACCTGTTTTGAAAAGGATTTTCTTATATCAAAGAAATGATTTATTAGGCAGTATTGAAATAAATATTCGAATTCAATACATTTTTTTCAATGTAACAATGTTTATTTGTTGTCTATATATTTTTAACATACCAAGATATGCTCCTAAAAAAGTCAGAGATTATTATTAAATATAAAACAGAAGAAAGGATTATACATATATTATAAATCTTCAATAAAAATAAGGATCACTCTTTCATTTTTCTCTTCAAACTTTTCGCAGTGACTTCATGTGTGAATATATGATTTTCGATCTTCGAGTATATAGATAAGTGGGATTAATTACAATCAGTTCCGTTAACGGGGAACAACCCGAACGTCCGGGTGTCATAATAATACGCGTGCATAAATCTTGCCGGAAGGCTACGAGAATCTTTTTTTTTATCTCGATCACAGTGGTATAATAGCATCGCAATTTCGTAGGGTTCAAGTGCGTTCTCACGAAGTTCGCGACGGTTTTCTCATGGCATCCGGATATTCTCATCGCCATCAGGCTAATTAATACGGTCCTCGCGTTGTTCGGCGATTAAAAGGTCTGAGATCCAAAAAGAAGGCCGTTTTTTAATTTATTCGATCGTTATCGAAAAATTGATATTTCACAACTGAGTCTATCCTTCAACGTGTGAGAATCTCACGCTAATTTTTAACAGTAAATTTGAGTCATTTGCATATCTCGGCAGTCCCTTTTGTAATTTCACACTAGAATAAGTTATTTCGAGACACAAGATCGAGCCGTAAAGGCAATAACTAATTAAACTAATTTATCGAGAACAATTCTAAGCAACATAGGTGATTCGCGTCTGGGAAATTAATTATTTCGAAAACTAGAAAAAATTCAAAAGAAAAAGAGAAGAGGAAACTCCATCGAATTCTGATGATTGATTATCGCGATTGTCTGTATCGAAAGAGAGGGAGGAGATGAAAAATGCCGCAAAGTGGCTCGTTAGACGAAAATATTATGCAAATGATCCGCCGAGATGTGAGCCGGCTCTCGACATAGACACCTGATTTTCTGCGATTGTGAGTCACGACGCCGCTGACAACGACGTGTCTCGTGTTCCCGACTTAAAAACGGGTTCTCTCACGGTGCAGGATAACGAATGCGTCCACGATGTCATTATCGCGATCATCCTCGCGCGAAGAGCTACTGTTCGAGGTTCGTTAGTCGCTCCAGGATGTATAGTCGATGAATCGATGACTTTATCGATGCGATGAGAAAGAGGAGAGAGAAAATTGCAATTTAAATCCAAGTCAGGATTCAGGACCCAAGAGAAGAGAATCGAGAGGTGTTTTCGATCCACTTGGCACGCACGCCTGCGAGACGCGGAAAATTAATTCGACGGATGTGACGTCACGCTCGTTCTTCCTGCGAGAGTCGCACGCGAGTATCTGCTCGCGAGGCGTTCCCAAGATATACGGGCAAGGATACGAATCCTTGAGCGGTGACGCGGATCCTGGCTCCGCCGCGAGACATTCTTTCTCACCGCATATCTAATCAACTTTTTATTTATCTATCGCAATGTGAGATTCACGAGGCATCGCCATAAGTGTGACCTGAGCCAAGGAGATAAAAAAAGGATCTTTTCTAGTTTTTCTAAAGAATCGTAATCTGCTTTAAAAATCTGCTATAAATTGCGAAGAGATACTGCATCATAAGTTATTCATATCAGGATTAACAATAAGATCGGGATTAAGATCGGGTCCGTCGAGAGATCGAAAATCCTTCTCGGGTGACGCTTCGACAAGGGAACAAAAACAGAATGTCGGGGGACGCATCGTTTTCCCGCGGTTTTTTCGCTTCGCACACAATGCGTGTCTCGTATGAATGCCGATCGCGTATATTTTTATAGAAATATACGCGAGATCCCGAAATCCCGGTCGCAAAATATTCCGTATGGAATGTTTTTCCGTAAGATAGATCGTAGCGTCCACAAAAAAGGAAACGTGCGTTGTCGCTTTGTGCCCCGAAAACGGTTCCCATGGATCCCATGGTCCTGGAGAAAAAGGAAGGAATTTCTTCGAAGAGGCGCCACTAGCAGAACGATGTTCGCCAGGTGTTTTGATGGTAGCCTCTTCTTCATTTTTTCTTCCTCTCTCTTTCTTGCACTTTGAAATATATGTGCATTTGGGTCGCTCTTCCCTCTCGTTCCTTTCCCTTCCTTATTCTTCCACTCCTCTTTTAGCTTAGCTTGCTTCTTTACATCTTGCTCTTGCCTGCACCTTTCTCTTTCTTTCTTTCTTCTCGCTTGCTCTTTCGCTCCCGACTCGTTGGTGAAACCAACCGCACTGTCTGTTTTTCTCTCTTCTTCACATGTATTTGGTACCTTACCTTTTCCCCTTCTTTCCGAATCTCCTTTTTACCACCTGGCAGAACAGCAGCTGGTAGCAGTTCGCTCCTCGGGGAGAAGGGATAAAGGATTTCTCTGTCCTTCGGGAACTCCGAAGAATCGACGTGGTGATCGGTGATATTTGCTCAAATTATTATGCTTACAGATTTGTAACTCGTGTAATTTGGTTGTATTATTGTAAAGAGATCAAACGACAAATCTGTTTAATTGTCTGATTAAAATTAATTATTTTTATTAATTATTTATTATTAATTAAAATATATTATTACCAGAAAATTATATTAAAACATTTATTTATCATAGTAATTATGTAAAAAATTAATTTAACTAGCTGAAGGGATAATAGTGCTTTTTATCTTGTTTTTGAATATATTTTAATAGTACTATACACTGAAAAAAATGACTAAATTAATACGTATTTAGTTCAATACTGCCAAATAAATCATTTATTTGAAATAAATAAATATTTATTTGTTTTGAAAAGGATTTTCTTATATCAAATAAATATTTTTCATATCAAATCAATATTATCAGTTTCAAATAAATGATTTATTCGACAGTATTGAAATAAATACTGATAAGAATTAACTAAATTTTTGTTCAGTGTACACAATATACTTAAATATTTTTTTAATGCTTACGAGCCAAACTGAGCATTAAAAAATCTACAATAATATTAAAAGTATCGAAATAAAGCAGCGTTGTAGAACCTACACGGAGAAAATGTTCCCTTAGAATTTACCCTGAAAATCATGGTAATCGTGGACAATATGGTATTGGAAGAATCTTATAAGAGTTTTTCTGATTAATATTTACCACAATAAAAATATTAACAGGTCCATAGTAAAATTAATCGAGTATATTTTATATCTTATTGTGCTAGATATTAATATTGTTATTGTGGTAAATATTAATCAGAGAAATTTTTATCAAATTCTTGCAATATCATATTGTCCACGATTACCATGATTTTCAGGGTAAATTCCAAGAGAAAATTCTCTCTGCGTACATTTAGAAATGATTATTAGAGAGGAAATCTCGCAGTTTGCCCCGTTCGTTTTTGATTTCTGAACTGATTTACTTAGTCTGCCT